TTTAGTATTAATATGAACATTACATAGATCAAAATAGAAATTATGTGTTTGACATTTTCTGACAGCTACTGCGGAAAGTAGCATATTCTCACTTGGGTGGAAAGTAAATTCTTATTCATACGCGTGTGATATAGGGCACTTTCCATAGGTCTATATAGTGTGATATGTGTCACTTTCCTAAGTGGTCGTAGGAAAAATAATTTAACAATCTCGGGGCGATCACTTCCCGTCACAAGGCTGGTACCTGCTATAAGTACCAATTCAATTACGACATAATCGCGCTTCAAATTTATTAAACTGCTAAGAAATATTTCTAGGAATAAAAATATTTGTAAGATTTTAGATATTCATTAGAATGATAAATACTGAAAATGCATAACTTTTACAAAAACATATTTAGATCAAATATTGTTCCTATAATCTAAAATTTTAAATTGTATAAAATTATTTTTTTTATTGTGGTACTTTTTAAATTTTTTGTAAACAGTTTGTTGGGTTAATTTTAACATATGATTTAATAAAATATGTACAAAATGGTATAAACTCGGTTGAGAATTATATATGTTTAATTAAAATCACAATGCCATTCCCATGCATTTGTTGTTCTGTGTACATAATATCTGTGATATAAGTCCGCATATTTGGTGGTTACTTTTCACACCGATATAATTTTTGACTATGTATTCATAGAACTTAATTTTTTATTTTTATTCAGAGAATCTTCAGTTGTTCTGTATCCTATTCTTAACGAGATATAAACTACATGTACTTTGCGCTTTTTTCAATGTGCGCTTTTTTCCATGTGCGCTTTTTTCCATGTGCGCTTTTTTCCTTGTGCGGTTTTTTCCGTGTGCGCATCTTTCCACGTGCGCTTATTTCCTGTGCGTTTATATGTCTGTGCGCTTTTTTCTGTGCGGATATTTCCTGTGCGCTTATTTCCTTTGCGCTTTTTTCCGGGATTCAAAATATAATGACAATTAGTTTGACAGAATCATCACTTATTTAAAATTTTAAAAATAATAGCAGTCGGTTGTTCAAAATATGAACGCTGATTGGTGAATTTCATTTTTTTTATAGTGTTCTCACTACCTACAATGGATATGAAATATATTCGTTCAGTTGAACGCAATAGCATACTTTTTCGTCTTGTAATCTGTGCGTAGATAAGCTAATATCCATGAGGGTGTAGAAAAAAAAATTATCTCGAAAACTTAGCATTTGCCGACCTGTGTTTATTCGAACTTTTTGTTCTATCGAGTGTTATTTAAAAGTTATATACCAATCTTGTGTAAAAGTTCGATATTATCCTTGTTGTAAGAAATATTAAAAAATGTATTAACAAAATGTATAATATGGTGACTTGAGGGCCACCTTTTAAAATTACATAGAGGTATTTATTTATTATACAATGTTCACCGGGCTAACCCTAATTACAGGACAAGAGTTAACAAACAGAAAATATATTTTACAATAATAAATAACAATTGGTTCGTTAAAAAAATGTCTTCTCGAACACACAAATGACAAAAAACGAAGAAAAAAAGGTGCATTTATAGTAGACAAACTTTTAAACCATACAAGTAATTGGGAGATAAAGACAGCCGAAAGCAACTGAAATGCTCGGCTGTTTGCAGCTACTGCACTGGCCAATCTTGTGAGAACATACCAGACCTGATGTGTGACGACATTGATTAACCATTCATTGATTACCCATCATCAAATAACCATATCAATCTTCCTGAGCAATTCGATGAAGAAATTCTACCTCAGCAAGCTGTCCCCAAAAGGTGTGCTGTAGATTCAGAGGACGAGCCATAAAAAATATACAAAAAATGTGAGTAACAACTATTTCCTTAACTGTGCTGTACACAAAATACAATAAGGCGTTTCATTAAATTTTTCATATTAATGTTTTAATTAGTAAAATGTTTATTTTAATAAATTATAAGGCTTATTTCAATCATGGGCGTCGTTACACAATTCTATAGGGAGGGGCAAAATTTTGATTTTCTTCTTTTCACAGGTCGGACTGACAGGTGTCAAGGGTCGCAGCCATTTATTTATAGTGTCATTTGTCAATAATATTGTTGGTTGGTAAGAACCTCCGGTTTTGTTTGTTTTCATTTCGAGCCTTTAACTTTCTCTGGCGAACGACCTTGACCTTGTTTGTTTATTTTACAGCCATTTGGAGACGCCTCGTTATAGTAAAGTGGCTCATTTCTTTTTATTTAATTATTATTTATATCCTATCCTAGTGATTGTCGGTTACTTGCTAATCGACATTCACCTTCCCCTATCGAACCCGCTTGACTGAGGGAGGCTTTTATTATTATTTTATTTATTTTTAAATAAATTCATTAGTTTAGAACCTTTAACGTCACTTAGTTAAACTAACTTAATATACTTTAAAATTATTTCAATTCATTTTAACTTATTACAAAAATGCAACACAATAATCCAGATAATTTCACCGCTGACCTCAGAAGGGCATTTCCTTCAAGGCACGGTACACGGGGAGAATTCGATGGCTTTTCCCCGGTTACTCCCGCCCCAGAGCAAAATGCCACCTTGTGGAGACAGCCGAACTCTATAAATTTCAATGATTTTCAAAACATTCAAATTAACGACGCTACCCGACGGTTTGCCAAATCCCCGCCGTCTGGGCCCGAACCTACCCTGAGAGTACCCAATTCGTTTGAATTGGGACTCCAATCATCATATACCCCCATCGAGCGTCGGCCTACACACGGCTAATGTAGGTCAGGGGGAAGTTTCCCTGGTGAAGTGCTGTTGGTGGTTTCGAGGAGTTCGCTACGCTCTCCGAATTATCCACCAGTACGGCCATATCTCCCTCACGACCCCTTCTTAGCGAAAGACCGGGGTCAGGGCAAAACAACCTTCACCCGAGCGAGACCCGACGACAGTTAGTAGCAACCACATCCATTTCCGTATTCTCTTCCTACAAAGTAGTGAAGATCTTCGGTGAGGATATAGATTTGCTGGTCTTACTTAATGGTTTGTCACGAGATGAAAGAGACCACATCCTTCCAACAAACAGACCAAATAATATTATATTTGTAAAATGTGGGGGATGAAAAAACCCAGATGTCACCTACTCGACAAATTCCTTTATGCAATTATCACAACCTGGAATAGCACTGTTTCTTCACGCGTTTAGCGGTTGTGATACAAACATCAGCACCTTTTGGCCAAGGAAAAAAGAAATTTCTATCGACAACAAAAAACAGCCACGCCTCGAACAAAACGCAGAGGTTTTCGTAAGCTCCAATGCCACACCTGAGCAAGTTTCCGATGCAGGAGAGACCTTCCTTGTTTCACTTTATGAAGGCAACAGAGAATCGCAAAATCTTAGCGATTTTCGCTTCCAGTTGTTCACTAAGCCCAACATGAACCTCGCCAGATTGCCCCCAACCAGGTATGCTGCAAGATATTGATTTAGGTACAGAGGTGGCTGGGAAATGAGAAGAATCCTCTCGATTGGGGCTGGAAGCAGAGTACACAAGGCCTTGTTCCTCAATAGATGATGGCATCACCAGCTCCTCAAGCTCTGCTAAATATAATTTTCTATAACTGCAAAAAAGGTGGTATCGGCAGTCGTGGTTGCAGGAAAGCAACTGAAATGCTCGGCTGTTTGCAGCTACTGCACTGGCCAATCTTGTGAGAACATACCAGACCTGATGTGTAACGACATTGATTAACCATTCATTGATTACCCATCATCAAATGACCATATCAATCTTCCTGAGCAATTTGATGAAGAAATTCTACCTCAGCAAGCTGTCCCCAAAAGGTGTGCTGTGGATTCAGAGGACGAGCCATCAAAAATATACAAAAAATGTGAGTAACAACTATTTCCTTAACTGTGCTGTACACAAAATACAATAAGGCGTTTCATTAAATTTTTCATATTAATGTTTTAATTAGTAAAATGTTCATTTTAATAAATTATAATGCTTATTTCACTTCATTTTGCAAACCCTTCTAGTACATAATTGTTTAACAACTTTGAACAGCTGTGTCTCAGAAACTATCAGGTGTAAGTTGACATAATTGGTCTTATTTTGTTGGGAATTTAGTGGACTCTAATAACTAAAAAATAACTTTTCTCATAAACCCACTCCTCAGGGGTAAAAATTGTCATAAACCAAATTTAAAGAACTTTTTTAGTATTTAACAATGATCCGAAGGGCTTTCGAGGTGGAAAATTTGGATTTGTCATTACCATCTCATCACTACAAACATATAAAAAAAATCAGAACTACCTCATTTGATATAAAGCAAAAAGTACCAATTCCAAGGACTATTAAAAAATAAGTCAATTGTTTTAGAGTTAGTATTGAAATTATTGTTACTTTTACTCAACTGATGGTATTAATTTAATCACATGGGATACAGGTATTGTTAGATTGTACATAATTAAATATTTTTACTGTCTCTACATTTTATATAAAGATTATGATAATTTTTTAAATAAACTAGCTATCATATCCATTATCAAATCAAAGTATAAAAATGCATGCAGGTAAGTTTGCTTTGTTGAGATAAGTTTATCTTTGCTTTATTTTATATCTATAATGATTTCATTATCTTTAATATAAATGTTTCAGATTATTTGATAAGTTATCTAAAATTTGTTTTGTATACATATAAAATGTTATTTACATTTTAAGTGAATTATCAAAATACGTATAGATAAAATTAAAAACATTGTGATGATGTTAGGTACAATTAAAATATACAAAAACTGTTATAAAATTCATTATTTTTAGGGCTAGCCAGAAATAATACCGGAAGATGCAAAATATTCCAAGTATCATTTTTATTATGTTTTATTTGGCAAATCATTTGTATTTCTATAAATATGTATTTTGGCAAACTGTAAGCAAATATTTTCCATAGATAAAACTGAATTGTGCAAGTCACTTCCTTAAAAAACTGCTATCAATTATATTATAATAAATTTTAAAATATGTACTTACTTTCTTCAGAGTTCAAATCTGCAAACTTTATTCCACCACTGCAAACAAAAGGAATTTATTAAAATATATTTTTTACACAAAATTATATTTATTAAAGATCAAAAAATAGACTAGTAAAATTATAGACAAATAAATGACAAATAGAAATAAAAAAAAATTAAAGAGACCAGAAAGTAGAATAAATAAGAGCACCTATTGGTATTTTGGGTAAAAACTAACTTAATTTTTAAGACTAACTTTATATATTTGTTCCTTTTAGAAAGATCCACTTACATATAAAAAATTAATAGTATATGCAACAAGGTGGTTTAAAATGAGCAATATAAGGAGAATATAATAAAAAAAGTCTCTTAACACCTGTACTTAAAAAACAACATATTTTAATTAAAACCAAGATTGTAATTAATTCCAAAAGTCTTTAAGTGCATTTTATGGCTTTATTTTAATATATTTGCAAAAACACATTAAAAACAATTATTATTCTTAGAACTCGAATACTTTATGAATATGCATTTCCAAATGAACAAAACGTAACTTAGAAGTAAAATATATAACAAAACAATACCTATATTTAATTTGAGGTTTATTTGTATATTCCTTCAGTTTAATTTTAAATTTGTAATATTACCACCAATTTCATTTCATGACATTTGAAGAAGTTGATGATATGGTTTTGTAGTATGTTATGATTACGAGTTTGCTGAATGGTCTTGAATGATTCCATATTTTGTCTGACATAGTCCACTATATTTTTTATGCTGTTCGAAGAGATCATGTTGATGTGAAGTAGTATCCCAAAAGAGAACGCAATGTCTTATAGTTGATTCAGTAACACCATGATGTATTCCAGGTCAACTTGAAGTTGATGTTTCAGCCCAGAAGAGTTGATGTTTCAGATTGTATCACTACCTAATTTGAGCAAAGTTGTGGCTGTCTTTCTCTTTTTTATGTTTTCTTTAGTAACAGACTATTGAACACAATATTAATTCTGGTTACTATTTCAACAGCAATGTGTCTATTTTCTTGTAGGTAACTTCTTTTCTATTTTAGATTAGTGTCACAGAAATAGATAATTTTGAGTTAAATATTGGCAAATGGTTGATAAGCAGTAAAAATTACACTGGTCCCAAAATTGACCCTTGCAGTACCACTCAAATGATTGTTTGCCTTTCACATAATACATCTAATTAAAAACAAATAGAATAAAAATTATATGTGATAATTACAATTAACAATTTTTTATCACACTTATTAATTGTGTTTATTTTAATTAAATGATAAAACAATCACAAAAATTAAATGATTTAACTTGCTTTAAAATAATACTAAAGCTCTTCTGAAGATGTTAAAAACCATCATCCTTTACTTTTCTTATTTTTAGGGCACAATTAGAATTTACCCTATTGAATAAAGACAGCAATACTACTTACCTTTTAATTAAATAAAAGACAGTCCCAGGTACAAGAAAAAAGTAAAGGTATGAACTAGTTATGACGAATGCAAAAAGACAAAAAAATACAAGCTATATTTCCATGTTAGATTTATAAATTAGTTATATTAACACTATTTTCTATTCTTATATTACCAAAATATCAATTCAATAGGATATTAAAGGTTCATATAAATTTAGTTTAAATAAGTATAAATAATTATCAAACTTACTTAAGATGTGCAAACATTTTTAATTGTTTATACAAATAGAATTATTGAAAAAATATATACCTATTTTGTCGCTGCATATTTATTTAAAATGCATAATTAAAATTGCCTGATAAACAGAAAACTCAATGGCTTTCCTTTTATAAGATTGCATAAATAATAATTTAAAAAACTAGTTATTATGTACATTTCAATTATTATTTTGAATGTGTCCTCTGCAACCTCTGTTATGTCGTATATGTCGTAGCCAGATTACAAAACTCATCGTTTTATAAATTGCCTAGGCGTTTTATAAACAGCAGCCAAATTGACAAATTTTCGTTTAAATTTCATTATTTTGCTATCTGGCTAGCCAGATTATAAAATGCCCAGGCGTTTTATAAAACGACGGTCTACACGCGGCCAGATTGTCAAATGTTTAAGTTTATCCCTTTTTTGACATTCCGGTGGAAAAAGAGTTTCAGTCGTTTTGTTGTTTTGTAAAACACTGTCGATTTAACAAGTTATTTTCAAATTTTCTTTGGTTTTATTTAATTTAATTGCAATAATATGGACGTTAGTGAAGTAGGACTTGCAAGCATAGACAAGAAATATTTATTCTCAATTAGAGGATTTTTATGAAGTAATAAAACCTAAAATCAAACTTTGCAATCCTTACTTTGGATTTCAAGTGAAATTTCTAATTTATATAACAAAATATAATATGACCATGATCAATGTAAAATCAATTGTAAAAGACTAGATTAGCCCGTAATTGTTCAATATTTCAATTTATATTATTGACACTTAAAAAAAGTTTCAAATAAAAGTTATAAGGATTTAAAACATGCGTATTTTAAAAATATTTTTAGACTCAGGTTGTTGAGTTTTTGTCTGGCAAATAAAAATGTATATTGTTTAAATTGAATTTTATTTCAGTTTTAGAATGGTTTGGAAATTTTTTTAAAACAATACAGGATTGCCAAGCAATTTTTTTATGAAATTAGAGAATGGTCCAGACCCCAAATTAAATTATCATAATTTAGGTAGGTTTACAATAACTTTTAAATTGTTTATAAGATACTAAGTTAACAAATAGTGGTGATAGAACTGGTTTATCTTATATAGAGTGTCTTAAATATGGCTAATTTTATGTTAAATTTAAAACATATATTTTTATTTGCCAGGAAAAAACGCAACACTCTGCATATCCAAAAATATTTTTAAAATATGTATTTTTCTATTCCATTTAACTTTTATTTAATACTTTTTTGCCTGTCTATAATATAATACAAATTGAAATATTGAAAAATTATGCACTAATAAAAGAATCGAATAATAAGATTTTTTTTCATGGTCTCTAGGAATTGCAAATTATGACAATTTGTTATCACTAAGTGTCTCTACTTAAATATAGCGGTTGCGAAAATTATGTACAATGTTGCCAAAATATGGTATGACCTAACCTAACACAATCCTTAATTTTGTTTTCGCAATTAATAAAAATAAATAAAAAAAACAAAGACAAAACAAAGAAAAAACAAAAAAAATATTAAAAAACTTTGTTAACTGATAAAGGACAAACTACTTGTGCAAGGTGTTATTCTGCAGTAAGTGATAAAACTGAAGGGAAGTGTAATCTTTGCTGTAAAGAAAAATTAATTAAAACTCAAAGAACACAGAGCACAATGGGCTAAAAACGTGCAGCTGACCAAATGGTCTAAACCACAAAAAGAAAATTTAAAGATTTGCAGGTGGGAGAGTATGTTTCTATAGTAGTTCCAAAATTTGACAAGGGTCCACTTGAACTTACAGCTGTATTAGGAACTATTCTTGATGTACACCATGGAGTATACTAGACAGAAATTGAACATGGGAGCTAAAATCGATGGTTTTCTAGGGACACACTTAACTTGGTTAATTCATCAAATTTAAATACTTTAGTTGCACCAGAAAATAACAGTATTATGTTAAGAGAAGCTGTTTCTAAGATTTCTCAGTTTGAGGTACAAGGGTTTAAAAAATGCCATTGCAAAGTTCAATGCTGTACAAACAAATGTCTTTGTTTCAAGGCACAGGGAAAATGCCATAGTAGGTGCCATTTCAGTGGCAAATGTTGTTTTATTCAAGTTTATTTAAATATTTTATGTTCATATTCTTCAGTTTTATTTGTATTAAAAGAATATGTAAAATATTCGTTACATTGTTTTAATTCACCTGCTAACCCATTAAATCCATTAATAAAAATTTTGACTACCTTAACTTTAAATAAAATTCGTATTTTACAAAACGACTGAAAACTGTCACCCACCAGAGATAATCTTAAATATTTGACAATCTGGCCGCGTGTTAACCGTCGTTTTATAAAATACCTATGCATTTTACAATCCGACTAGCCAAATAGGAAAATAATGAATGTGAAAGGAGAATTTGACAATTTGGCCACATTTTATAAAATGTCTAGACATTTTATAAAACGGCGAGTTTTACAATTTGGCTACGACATACCTATATATATTTTGTTCTATAATTTTGTAAATAAAGATTTCAAATGCAACCTAAATAATGAAATTTTTTAAAATTAGGTTATACTTAGTTTTGAAAGATAATTTTTAGAATCCTTGGGTTGTTTTATATGTAGGTAGTGCTCGATTTATTTAATAATCTAACATGCAATAATAGCAAAATAATTTGGTAATCTGACATACCCGAGAAGGACTGATGCTGTTTCAGGTACTCGGAAAACCTGTAACAAGGAAGTAGTGGCAAAAAATGTTACACCCCAGAAACAGGATGTTCAAAACAAATACTAATCTAACAAAGTATTTGCTCACCTTCCATCCTAAATTTTCAAAGAATGTACATAGTCTTGCTTGTCCAGTTGTCTTGCCGCCACATGGACCTACAAAAATTAAACAAAAATAAAATCGATAATTTTTATTTCTTTATTTTACTCACCTCCAGTAAGCACCAGCTTGTAGAAGATATGGATGCCTTTATTTCCTTCCATATTTAGCTGTATTGGTAGGAAGTAGGAAGACTTTCCAAAAAAATGATACTATTTTTGCACAATCAAAATTTCATTTAAAAAAAGTTGAAATTAATTTAATTTATACCAAACCAATCTATGAGAAAATAATAAATTTGAAATGAGTTAATTTGAAGAACTGGAGCACATGACTAAATTTTAGTACTAGTAAAATTCATTTTGGTATTTTTGCGACTTTCGGTCGATGCATACACCGCACGAGGCGGAAAAACGTTATTTAAAAGACGGGCCACAGACGGGCTACGGAAAGACCCGTTTTGACGTTTTGCATCGGTTTGCGCATTGCGCATCGTAAAAAACTACATACAAACCCCTTCCACTTGTCGACAACAAAAGAATTTAACACGTGTTTCCGTTGGTGCGTGATTCATGCGTGAATTAATTCCTAGAAAAAGAAGCCGGTTTTGTCAATTCGACGAATTGATAAACTTATAAGAAGAGCACTAATAATAATACGAAAAAGAAGAAACTTCTTTTTTAATAATTCTCAGCTGGGATTTTTTTGACTAGTTTCCAAAAACACCCGAGTCCAAGATAACCCCAAAAAGAAGAATAAAATTTCGACCTCAGAGTAGTACAGAGAGAACAGAAAGCAATGTTTGTGTCGCCTTGATAATGAGGTCGAGAATCACATCCAAAATTCTAATTAGAGAGAAATAGATTACTCTATCTCTATATTTATTTTTGCAGTTATTTTTAAACAATTATTTAAGTTCAAGTACGGTGGTGTTAAAAGAGACTTTGGTTTGTAGGGTTTATTTTATACTAGGAAATAACTTGTGTTTTAAGGCTGTATGTCACGATACTGAATTAAGTACTAAATTTAGAACTAAATTAATGCATTTTTTAAGTACTAAAAAAATTCACGTTGCAAACAGCAAATTTAGTACTAAATTTAGTACTAAAAAAAGTCATTAATTAATTAGATCTTGTTCTATTTTCTACTAAATTTAGTACTAAAAGTGCGCCGAAATGTTGCGCAGAAGTTTTTCATAGAAAAAGTTGACACGACGGTATTTTCTGTACCCTTTTATTTTTAATTAGCGACAATTTCACATTATCGCCTTGAATAAAGTTCGCCTGTTTGATTTTGTAGGTTTTATTGTGTTTTTCCGTGGTTTTTATGCTGTATTTGGTTGTTGTCAAGTCAACTAGTATCAAATTGATAAAACACCATTTACTTCACTTGTCTGTTTTACACAGAATATTTAATTTCTCTGCTAATTTCACGTATTAATACGTCAATGCGCGTGCGCCCATAGTAAATTTAGTACTAGAACAGAAGTAAAAGTTGGAAATGCTTTTGCCAGTTCTCCCACTTTATACACATAAATTGACAGGTTGGCACCGGATCTCACCGAAGTGGACGCGATACATTGGCGTACAAAATTATTTTATAGATGTTAATAACAATTTCGAGTAAATAGTTTAATAAATTGTGAATAGCTGCTGAAATTTTGTAAAATTATAATTTGAATATTATAATACATGTTAAATAATTATTTATAATCCATAAATACATGCGATTATCCGGTTCCGCCGATAACAATTTAAAATTACTTATTCTATGAAACGACACTGGCAGGTAAACATTACTGTGAAATTGTCGGAGCCGCCCGACGTGGTTTGACGTTTACCCCCTCTCTACCTACCAAAAGACTTTTCAACTTTTACTTTCTCTATAAAAATTGGTATCGTTGCAAACGGAAAAAAAATATTTTTAGTTCTAAATTTAGTACTAAATTAATAACTTAATTTAGTGCTAAATTTAGTACTTAATTTAGTATCGTGACATACAGCCTTTATATGGTTTCAAATATAAAAGAGGAAGTGACCAAAGAACATGGGCGTCGTTTTAGGAGAAAAAGGAAATTAAAATATTAAAAAAATAAAATTATTGTATTTAGGCCTAATTTCACCGCTAGTAGTTAAAAAATAAACTAGGTTTAAAATGACGTTTTTACATTAAGCGATGTCATTTTAATATTCGTTTAATAGACTAAACTTCGTTTAACACAACGGTGGAATCGGCCCTTAGATATTGTTCTAAAAGATGAATTAGAAGAAACTTATGGTTACAGGCACTTGAATGGACTGAAATATTAGAAGTTAAATGAATATATTACATTGGTTCAAGTCATTTTTGAGGACTGCTTTGCTGCTACAAATATATTATATGGAATAAGGATAATTTCCTGACCGTAGTAGAATTTTATATAAATAAAAATTTTCCTTGGTTTTATCGGTCAAATGTTTTTATTTTTATTGTTTAGCACACCACATATGTTTCGGAAAGAAAAATTTTTCCATCTTTAGGTGCAGTCAATTTATAAAATTGTAGGGACGAATACCCAGACAACTCACCAAATCCCAGAGATATCTTTTGTGGATATCCAATATATCCACAGGATATCTGAAATATCCCGTGGATTAAATATATGGATATCCAAATGTCCGCCAATATCCAGAATATAGAAGATATCCTATGGATATCCAGCAAAATATCTAATAGGTATCTTCCAGACAATACAAGAAATCCCAGAGATATCCACAAAATATATTTTGTGGATATCCAATATATCCAGTGAATCTAATATGGATATCCAAATGTCCGCCTATATCCCAGGATATAGAAGGTATTCGGATATTCAGCAAAATATTTTATGGGTATCTTTAGTAGAGGTTCATAAGTAACCAATGATTATTGAATAAGGTCGAAAGAAAATAGCAGAGATAAAAAATATTTTCAACACTCAAAATATTTTCAACACTCTGCCTTTGATTTTGCCCACTAAGGAGAAAGTCGTCCTTATTAGGACTCTTCAGCAATAAGCACAATGGCGTAATTTTTTTAATAATTTGCTATATAATTACTATTATTTATGGACATTTGCATGTCTATAAATTACATCTCATGGATATAAAATAGATATCCACCATGTACTGGACATTCAGTGGATATTGGGATGTCCAGTAGATATCCTAGGGATTTGGTGTGCTGTCTGATGAGTAGTGTTCTAAAAGGCACTTGAATGGACTGAAATATTAGAAGTTAAACGAATATATTACATTTCAAGTCATTTTTGAGGACTGCTTTGCTGCTACAAATATATTATATGGAATAAAATTATCCAATTTCCTGACCGTAGTAGAATTTTATATAAATAAAAATTTTCCTTGGTTTTCGGTCAAATGTTTTTATTTTTATTGTTTAGCACACTACATATGTTTCGGAAAGAAAATTTTTTCCATCTTCAGGTGCAGTCAATTTATAAAACTATAGGGACGAATACAAACAGTTTAAAATTTTTTAAAATAAAAGAACGCCATCTTTCTCGTTCACATCGTTTGAATATACTCTGAAATACTTCTACTTATGCTAAATAGCTAAATATATATAAACATAAGGGATGTATCATCCCTAATAAAAATGTCTAAACTGCTTTTTAATGGTTTATTTCACGATCAAGTATTCTCAATTACAATGTTGCTGTGGTATTGCCACTGTCTATTAGCGTACTATCCACTGCGCTGGTCTGTCTTCTCCCGCTCGTCCATCCTGACACGCATGTGTATGGACTTCAAGAATGTATGGTGGGGAGTATAGAGAAATACCGCTAACACGGCCATCCTGCAATTGGTGCGTCCTCGCGCCACATATATCTGGAATTACAAAATACGAAAACAGAACTACTGTTACGACTTATGAACATTATCACTAATGTTCTTTTTAGACGCTAAATGATTAATTACTCTTTCAATTAATGTTGGTGAAACTGCTACGATTACAGTAAACATAGTGGGATCGTCACTAGTTATTCTTTCAATCAACGTTGGTGGAATGGCCACCATTACCATTAGTGGAATTGCCACTTAATACTCTTTCAATAAATGTTGGTGGGATTGTCACCATTGCAATACACATTAGTGGGATTGCCACTAATTATTCTTTCAATTAATGTTGGTGGGATTGCCATCATTGCAGTAAACATAGTGGGATTGCCACTAACTACCTTTTTAATTAACCTTGGTGCTATTGCCACTAACTACCTTTTCAATTAACCTTGGTGGGATTGCCACCATTACAGTAAACATAGTGGGATTACCACTAACTATAATTTCAATGAACCTTGGTGGGATTGCCACTAACTACCTTTTTAATTAACCTTGGTGGGATTGCCACTAACTACCTTTATTTTTATTTATTGTTGGTGAGACTGCCACCCTAACACTAAACGCCTAGTGTTATAAAACTAAACTCTAGTATTACTTTATTATCATAATTCATTCAGGAACATTTGGTAGAATTGCCACCCTAACACTAAACGCTAGTGCTACAACACTAAACCCTAGTGTTAATTTATTATCATGATTTATTCTGGAACATCTGGTGGGATTGCCACCCTAACACTAAACACTAGTGCAACAACACTAAACCCTAGTGTTATTTTATCATGATTTATTCTGGAACATCTGGTGGGATTGCCACCCTAACACTAAACACTAGTGCAACAACACTAAATCCTAGTGTTAATTTATCATGATTTATTCTGGAACATCTGGTGGGATTGCCACCCTAACACTAAACACTAGTGCTACAACACTAAACCCTAATGTTAATTTATCATGATTTATTCTGGAACATCTGGTGGGATTGCCACCCTAACACTAAACACTAGTGCTACAACACTAAACCCTAGTGTTAATTTATCATGATTTATTCAGGAACATCTGGTGGGATTGCCACCCTAACACTAAACACTAGTGTTACAACACTAAACCCTAGTGTTAATTTATTATCATGATTTATTCTGGAACATCTGGTGGGATTGCCACCCTAACACTAAACACTAGTGCAACAACACTAAATCCTAGTGTTAATTTATCATGATTTATTCTGGAACATCTGGTGGGATTGCCACCCTAACACTAAACACTAGTGCTACAACACTAAACCCTAATGTTAATTTATCATGATTTATTCTGGAACATCTGGTGGGATTGCCACCCTAACACTAAACACTAGTGCTACAACACTAAACCCTAGTGTTAATTTATCATGATTTATTCAGGAACATCTGGTGGGATTGCCACCCTAACACTAAACACTAGTGTTACAACACTAAACCCTAGTGTTAATTTATTATCATGATTTATTCTGGAACATCTGGTGGGATTGCCACCCTAACACTAAACACTAGTGCAACAACACTAAACCCTAGTGTTATTTTATCATGATTTATTCTGGAACATCTGGTGGGATTGCCACCCTAACACTAAACACTAGTGCTACAACACTAAACCCTAGTGTTAATTTATCATGATTTATTCTGGAACATCTGGTGGGATTGCCACCCTAACACTAAACACTAGTGTTACAACACTAAACCCTAGTGTTAATTTATTATCATGATTTATTCTGGAACATCTGGTGGGATTGCCACCCTAACACTAAACACTAGTGTTACAACACTAAACCCTAGTGTTAATTTATTATCATGATTTATTCTGGAACATCTGGTGGGATTGCCACCCTAACACTAAACACTAGTGCTACAACACTAAACCCTAGTGTTAATTTATTATCATGATTTATTCTGGAACATCTGGTGGGATTGCCACCATAAATCAACAAAAACAATTATTTTAATTTAATATTGTGGGATTTCCACTCACCTTTTTTTATAATTACTTCGATGACCATAGCAACTAATCTTGAGCGGCTACAGTTATTCGCTATCGCTCTTTGTGAAGTTGATATATTTCATGTGGTAATACCTCTCCAACTGTGTAAAGCCCTTTGTATTTTGGCCTCAATTTTCCTCCACCTGCGAGCTGTGAATCTTCAATTGCCACGATATCGCCTGGCTTAGATAATGTGGCTCAACGCCTAGTTTCATTGAATCGTTAACCTTGGTTTGACGGTCATCAATTTTTTTATGCATTGTTGTGATACTACGACGGCTTCTTCTACTGCTATTCACTGGTTTTCTTTTTCTGCTAAGAGTGTTGTTCATAACAATTTAAAGAGAGTTAATCATTACACATTCTACCATTTCCACGTGGCACTCCGGTTACTATATAATCAATCTGCACGTTACGTTTACTAAGAAAGTTTTTGTAAGTTATTGAATTAAATGCAGCAGCTATAATAATTTATATTGGTTTTCTCATTTCTTCAATAATTGATATTAGACAACATATGGAATCTTTAGAAATTGTTTCTAGCTTGCAATATTTTGAAAATGCATCGATTACAACTAATATTTGAATACAACCACTAGATTTCACTAAAGAACCTGCATGATTAATATACTATGTGTCTAAAATGTTATGTGATTTTTCCAAAATTCACGTCAAGTGCTAGTATATGATTTTCTTAATGGTACAATTTTTTTATGTATTTTTTTTTTAAGCACTGACCCATTTTCAGCCATTATAAAATAATAAATAAACAGTCTCTGAATACCTTATTCTATCCTATATGTGAAGACCCATCAATATATAGTCAGAATAAACAAACAATCGCGCTGCGACGAACATACAATATTTTCGGAGATTTGTTTATAGTTGTCCTATTTAACAATTAGGTAGGTCAAAGTCAAAGACCGGCATATTAATTATCTGATGACAAATCGTATCACTTTGCTGGGAATCTCGGAGCGTATGCTTATCGGTAATTTTGTTTGTTTGTTTTTAACGGGCACACTTTTAACTCGCTTACATAATTCACTTGCTTTAATAGTCTATGGGGTCTATTAGAATAGACCCCTATATGTTACATTTTATGTCCAGGGTGGTCTCAATAGAAAAGTTTTAATTCTATAACTTATCACACCAACGCGCCGCGCGTATTTAATTTGTTTACAACTCTTTCTCGTACCGAATTACAGTCTGTATATACTATTAAATGCACACTGTACAGATACACACGAAAGTGTTCAACCGCTTTCACTATAACAAGAGTCTTTAGATTGTAAAAATGTTACCTTGATTCACAATCAGTCGTACGGTTACTATAGTATGCAATAGGTTTAGTAACAAAAATAGTTACCTGTTTGGAACTTTCTTCTATATCCATTTGATAAAAGCTTGATTTCATGTCCAACGTGGTAAAATATTTTAAAAACATTAATTTGATCTTCAAAACTTTTTTTTTAATAGCACAATAGGACTATTATATTTTATAATACAATAGTAATACTCTCCCTAATTCACCCCTTTTACTTACAGTGAATTTCAATCTCCAAAGTTGACTGAGCTTGTGTATGGAAAGAACGGCTATTATTTTATTTGTAGTAACGCTCCGGGACGACTTAAAGATGACTGCCATTTGACTTACAGATGGGGAAAATCCAGAAAACCTTACCCACCTTCATTTTAAGTGACTTCTGCGGATAATGTCACTGTTTATAATTTTCTTCTGTTGAATTTTGTCTTGATACGCTAATCGTCTTCGTCGATACGCTACTGGAGTATTGCATTTTAATCTAAATTGACATTTTTCCGGTAGTTATGTGGTCAGGAGATTTATTCTTGTAAAATGTTAAAAGTCTATTCACTTGTATTTTTAAAGTGTCTTTTAATTCTAATTGATTAATTTTCATATCGTTCAATTTTTTATTGTAAACATTTTCTGAATGTTGAGCAGGTCATAATGTAACCTAATCCCATCGGCATTTTTCTCGACACTTAAACAAGGTCGGCATATGACATTGCTTCTAATAATCTTCAGGAATCACATTATTTGGAACGACCTCTAACGTAATAGTCGGCAAAATCACAAAGATCGATATTCTAAACATCTTTTGAGTTTCAAGTCTCAACAAATACACGTACATCAGCTGGTCTAATCGTTCCTTTTAATGTTTTCTATACGGAATGTTTAATTATTGAACTGTCAACATCACTATCAATAATGTATTCTAATTACTGAGCTTGCTCAAAGTATAATAACATGGTTATCGGCTGTCGGTGTCGAATTTAGATGGCATTATTTATTTTAACACAAATGTTTTTTTTTAGACTTTCTTTGTTTATAACAATAATTGGATTCGAGGTGACCCATTTTTCTTTTAATGAATGCTTTAATACTGTCGGATTTTTATGTGTAGTAACCGTGTTAAATGTACTCGCCTGTTATGTACTCCGACATGATATTATTTGTTGGTGTCCTGGCGGCGGCTTCTCGTTTAAACTGACTTCTTGGTTTTCTGATTATCTCTGCATTTTTCGTCATTCTCGGGAACTCAAGTTAACACGGATCGCATCAAATTCAGCAAGTAATTTTATGAGCTCACCACTCTCGTTCGGAATTTGGCTTTTGAATTGTCTAAACCGGAACTGAATGCCACAGCAAAGCATTATTAAAATTTAGTGATGATTCACAATTTTTGATTTTCACAATCACACACGTGAGTTACAATAATGGCATTGAAGTGTAGCCTTGTATTCACGAGCAGCTGGTGTTTCCTTGTCAGCAAATGCAACAATTAGGACATCACAAAGTCTTGCCACGTTCGAGAAAGAAGTCGCCAGTCACAACAATAACAATAACCGCGATACTTAGATGCTTTGCTCGATTTAGCGGCCATGAAGTTATCTCTAACGCTGAGTTCGCCTTTTATTTTTGGTATCGTTACTCAAACCATTCTTTTATGGAATATGTGCTGTCTTCAGGGTCATAACTAGTAAGTCGAAAACTGCACAGGCGCAAATGTCGGCGCTTGCGTATTAGATTAATTTGTTCCTGCAACACTGGGCGTTGGCTTGGCGAACGGTTACGTAGCCATCTTGGAATGTTGAGATACATCAGCATTTATTACTCTTGGGCTGCTATAAAGTTTATTAATGTTTATTACCACTGAAATTTAGCATGCTTTGAACTATGTCCGTTCACATTGTCTTTAGCATCGACCGACATTGTGTTCTGCTGACGCACTGTCACGAGGTTCAGGATTTTCGTCCGCCATTGTCACTAGCACTAACTTCTACTTAAATAATTAATTATAGTCTATTAGCCGCGGTACGCGTAGTGATCTCACTTCTGATATAAACATAAGGGATGTATCATCCCTAATAAAAATGTCTAAACTGCTTTTTAATGGTTTATTTCACGATCAAGTATTCTCAATTACAATGTTGCTGTGGTATTGCCACTGTCTATTAGCGTACTATCCACTGCGCTGGTCTGTCTTCTCCCGCTCGTCCATCCTGACACGCATGTGTATGGACTTCAAGAATGTATGGTGGGGAGTATAGAGAAATACCGCTAACATATATATTAATTTGTTTTATTCTTATTAGGTATATTTTTTCATGTCTTAATTTTATTTATTTTTTCAGTTCTACTATTGTATAGGTTTTCAATAGGTATAGAAATTTTATAGAATTCCAAATCCTTGCTGTAAACCTAAATGTTTTAGAAGCAATAAAATATATTTTGCTATTATTATATTTTTTTAAATGACAATAATGTCATATTTTGTTTTCAGTTCAATAAAAACGTACCTATCTTTTAAAACTATTTTGTATTATTTCATCTGTTAGCAGTCACTATTTTCACATTTAAAATAACCCAACGCAATCCGTTTACGTACGCTACTGCTCAATATTCTAATATAAGCGAGAAAGCCTGCATTAGAAAAAGAAACAATGATTTTATTAGAGCGACATCAACATTGTATAGATTTATGAAGTGGTAGCCTATCTATACATATATTATCTAAGATTTCGACCTACATGACATGTGACAAGACATTTGATTGACGGTTGACGGCCGATAACAAATGTCAAAAGTTTAATAAAGTTTGAAGATAAAAAAATAAAGAATTAAATACAAGAAAAATATTTATTAGTTATTTAATGTAGGAAAAACACCATGGCTTATACAGGAGTATTACCCTTCGTAAGAGGGGTTGATTTCACCAGAAATGATTTTAGTGTATTTATTTTGTTTTCATTTTTTAAACATTGCTCTTATATTTTTTTTTATTAGGGAGAAAAATTTCCTGATGCAGTTAATTCAATGACCGGTTTACAATGGTTAAAATTAGATCGAACAAATTTGGAAGAAATCCCAAAAGAAATGGGAAATCTACTGAAATTAGAACACCTGTCACTAACAAGAAATCATCTCGAAAAATTATATGGAGAACTAACGGAGTTAAATTGCTTACGAACTTTAAATTTGCGACACAATAAAATAAAATCATCTGGCATTCCATCAGAATTGTTCAATTCAGAAGAATTGAGTACCCTAGATTTTAGCCACAACAATTTAAAAGAAGTCCCAGAAGGTTTGGACAGGGCTAAATCGCTCTTGGTTTTAAATTTAAGTCACAATCAGTAAGTATTTTTCAATATATTTATTAGTAATACTAATAAGGATGATAATACATATTAAGATACATCATAGATTTGGTTAAAGAATACTAAAAGTAAATTTAATATTTTTTTGTCAGATCTACAAATAAAGGTATTGTTCACATAGGTATTCTGTTAATATAGAGTGATTGGACTAGTTAGCTGGACAACTCCAATTTTAGGACAATTTTGAATAAAAACCATTAAAATAAGAAAATCCCACCCAATATGCCCATATATGTTGAATTTATACTTTGTTTATACTATCCCAATTCCACTCCCACATTTTCAGCACCATATTATTACCTCTGAAGCCATTAAATAATTTAAAAATGGAAAGGTTTCCACCTTTTTGAAAAGTGAAAAAAGGACTATGATGCTGACAGGGGCTCTGGTATATAAAAAAGCATAAAAGTCCTCATCTGTCTAGTAAACTTCACAAATGTCTTGTCAAGTTTCTAAAAAAAATGCTGTCAGTCAAAAGAGATATTTGTCATAATGTCCTAAAAGAGGACATTTGCCGTAAAAAGGACATTTTAAGCTTTAAAAAGTTGCAAGGACATTTTGCTTCAGAAAAGGACTGTCCTGTTCAAAAAAAGACAGGTGGCAACCCTAACCCAGAGTGCATGTGTTAAGCCTCGACTTATTACAAAAATTGCAGTGAAAATCATTGAAATTAAGTGTTTGGCTAATAGTTTCATAAAATTCTGAAAACTCCTCTGACAAAGTGTCCAAGAATTGGTATGATAGAGTAAAAGTTTATTAATCCTGTTTTAGTAAATATATCTTTTATATTTGGATTCAGTGCTCATTTAAATAAAGAATGTAGGTAGTGACTAGTTTTCGGTCTCCTTTTTTATAACTTTATGAGAGAGATATAATACATTTTTTAAGAAGTCCAAAAAATTGGTAGTTTTTGAACTGATGGATATTAAAATGTAATTTAATTATAGTGTTTAACTTCATCAAAGTTTTTTTGATTAACTGTATCCACTTTTTAAAAATAGTTTTTTTTATTTAAATTGTTTACGAATATTTAACAGTTGTTTTTAGATGCCTAAGAAAAATACAGTTTGAAAATAACACTTAAGAGAAAAATATTAAACATAGATATTCACTTGAATCAGCTTTACAAAGTACATATCAAACAGTCAGGAATTAGCATAAGAGAAGCCAGCAGGCTGTTTGGTATACCCAGGCTAACATTTTATGACAAATACTCAGGAAAATCCCTGCAGTTAAAAAATGAACTGGCCCACTTCTACTGACAGTAGAGTAAGACAAAAATGCAGACTGGGCTATTAAGATAGCAACATGTGGCTTTCCAGTTTAAAGTTCCCAAAAGTGCTCCTTAGATGAGGTGGTATAAAAGTTTCCTAATGCATTATTCTGAAATTTCGCTAAGACAAGCAGAAGGCATTAACAAAGAGCTAGAGCAGTGATTAAAGAAATATGATTCATTCATGGTTTAGATTTGAAAACCTGTTTAAAACACTTTCGAAGCTGTTTTGTAAGACACCTCAAGCGTGGGTATGGGGATGAATTTGGATCTTCCCATTGTTCTAATCTGAATAGATACTTGAACCGGGTGGAAGAATATGTATATAATTCAATCTGGAAAGGAAAAAGAAAATATAACTGGTGTTATTGTATTCAATGTCAGCAGGAAAAGTTTATCCCCACTTGGTCATTTTCTCTATGTAAGACTACTTTAAGCACTAATTGTAAATTCCTGTTACCTGTGTTGTTGAAAAATCTGAGTCTGGTTAGATAAAGACCGATGTCTTTTATGAGTATGATATCATGGTAATGTGTTATAAATGACCAGTTATAGTGTTAATAAAGAAAATATTTAGTCTAATACAGTTGGCTTTGTGGAACTGATTTATATTAACTGGTTTATTGTATCTAAATAAACAAGATTTTTTGTTTGTAAATCAAAAGTGGTAGATGTAGAGGATCAATTTTCGACAGTAAACATTGCTACATTTGCATTCAGTTGATTCAAACTCGTCTACAAATATAAGATCCAGCATCTACTGGAACGAATTAAAAACATAGTTTATTTGATTGAGTTCATGGAAACTCATTGTAGCAATTAAAGTCTCAGCGATAGCAGGTTGAACTCTAGTTGGAACAACAAAATCATCTTTAATTTCCCATTAGACATGTGGAAGAATGAATATTGTAAATTTGTGATTTTTAACTTTGCTCTTTAGAGATTCGCATAGGTACAGATATAAATATATTTTGGAATTATGTGAATAATAAAAAGAGTAGTAATTTCACTAGTAACCATTACTTATTTAAAGGGAAAACAATTAAGTCTAATGAAACTGCAAATGCATTTGCAGAATTCTTTGCATCAGTATATTCAACTAATGTAGCTTGTGATTCTGAAAATTGTACAAATAATGCTTTAAATTTAAAATTAATAACGGATTTAGAATAGGAAGAAGCAATTAAAAAACTTAAACCAAAAAAAGCAGCAGGACCAGACGGCATGCCTCCATATGTTCTGAAGGCCTGTCATGAGTGGTTAAAAAGACCTTTACTTCATATATTCAACTTAAGTATTGCAACAAATGAATGTCCACACTTATGGAAAACTGCACTAGTTTATCCTATATTTAAATCTGGAAATAAAATTGAAATCGAAAACTTTAGGCCCATATCACTTTTATCAGCCCCTGTTAAATTATATGAACATATACCGTATGCAAGATTATATCAACATGTTGAAAGCAGTCTGGTATCCCAGCAGCATGGTTTTGTATCAAAAAATTGTGTCTTTTAAATCGAAAGCCAATTTTTCGAATCTATGTATTAATTGACCGTGCAGAACATTTCACATCCGGCATTTCTTCCGAAAATCATTTATGTAACGATTTAATTGTTACATGTTGCTCATCTTCGTACATCTTATATTATATAACTTACCGCAACTTATTTAATATTAAAGACTTGACTTTTGTTTTACTTTGTCTTACTTTTTTAGACATTATTTTCAGAAACTCTTTATCAAAATTTGTTGGTTTACTAAATCTATACATAGTTTTGTGCGAAATATTTAATTCCGCTGCATTCATTTGATTTTACCTCTTTCCAAGAATCTCGCAAATAGATTTGTGTCTCTTAAAATAGGAAACTACGTTTAGGATTAAAGTTTTTAATTGATCACTAAATCGTTTCACCGTTTTGTTGAATACTTATAAACACTTTTGAAATATCAAAATGCTTAACAAATTCAAAATTATTTTGATAACTGCCACCTGATATAATAACATGATGTAATTGATCTACGACGTGCCAAAATTTAGTAATTTTTGGTTCATCCATTTTACATTTAAACAATAAAGAAAGCGTATTTCCGAGACTTTATTATGTTCTAGTTGAGTCCCATTTAAGATATATGGAATTTAATTTTAGGGAAGTTGTAGCCGTGAGTTAGTCAATACTGTTTTTGTCTGCAAAAAAAAGCAATACAATTTTTTTGTAGAGTGAACAATCTCTACACATTTTGTCAACCTTCTCGAGTAACTGTCAACGACATTGGATTGATGAAAAAATATGTAATGAACATCAATGCCATATTTGTTGATTTTGATGATAATTTTTAAGGAATAAAAAGACTACTTCCGACATTATCATTCATTTCGGAACATGTGATGGCATAGATATTTGGTTTTGTTGCCAAAACTTAAAAAAACATGTTAAATGTTTAAATTGCATGGAACTATTAGTTTGTTCAGATGATACTAAGAAAGGCAACTTTGCGCTCTTCAATATAAAAAATTGTGGAGGTTTGATAGCACTGTCAAAAAATATAATAAAAACAGGCACTTTAATCGAGAAAAAATACGTCATGTCATACTAATAACATGATGCCTGCGGAACCAAATTTTTTTTAACAAACATCTTAGTATTTTGCTATTTGAAAATAATTAATCGAATGAATATGATTCAGTTATTCTGCAGGAGAAGAGAGCCATAGAAAGAAAATAATCAAGTTAATAACAAAAATGTATTGTGGAATTAGATTTTTGAATATAGTCAAAGCGTAAACTGAAATTGATAGGGGATCATCTAACAGAAAAAAATTCTAAGCTCATTCTTTCTCATAACCAATAATGAACTTTAAAGTATGTAATAGGTACAAGACGGGTGCAGAATAAAAGGGGCAACTACACTGAGAAATAACTATTGTACTTGCTTGTCCATGTACGTATGCTATATTGTCAAAACAAAGTAGGTACTTTACCCTTGCTCAAAATTCATATTTTTTGACGAACTACCGAAAATATTTGATATCTGATGGTTGTATTTTAGGTTTTAGAGTTAGACCTTGCAGAGCCTTTTATGAAGAATAACTTTTTTCTTAAAAATAATAAAAAAAAGTTTTCCGTATGATTCTGACTTAAGAGCAAACTGGACCTCTCGCGAAATCAAAAATGTTTTAAGGGAATATTTCACGATATGTTCCTCAAGAATAAATTTGTGCAATGATAAGGCAGCACTCTACAGAGACGTTTAAAATGTGGGACATCCTCTCATTTAAAGATTACTAAATATTTATTAAAACAAAAAGCAGCAAATGTTCATATATTTAATACAGAATATTAAGATTATTAGGACAGGTCCTATTCAAATAAATTGATTGATCATTCATATTTGTTGTAAAATATCTAAGTATATACATTATTAGTCACCTATTTTATTATCAGAGAGATAAGATTTGATATAACCATGTTTTATCTAAATTATATTAACAAATATTTTATTTAGAAGGGTGTTATAATGGTAAAAATTAGTTATAGATAAAATATATACAGTACACACTTGAGGAAATTCGCCTAATGCTAATAATTTTCGAAATTGATATTTGGCGAAAGCAAAGAGTATGGTTTTAAGCCTGTGTCTTAGACAATTTGTGTTGAAAATAAAATAATTTACATGATAACAGTTTAAAAGTGATTTCATCTCATCTTCGAATGTGACAATGTTCAAATAGAGTTTCAAAAATATAGTGATTCTGTGACGGCTACCTGTGCAGTGCCTCGACCTTGCAAGGCACAACTGCAACGTATTTCTGCCTTCGATAGGGCCGCAACAATAATTTCCACTCATAAAGAGAATATTACCGGAGTCAAATATGCAGCACTATAAAGGTCATGAGGTGTCCAATACTTTTAGTGACAGTGTATACCACTCCCACAATAATAGGCATTCCGAACATTCTCCAAATTTGAGTCACACGTCCCCTTATCAGCAGTATGATCCAGTTGTAGTTTATGGTTATGTTTCACCTTCACTTTACGGTACAGCTCCCAGTTTGTCACACCTTTATGTAGATAGTATCAATGGACCAGTCCCAGTAGGAGCAACCATGATGATGTTTGAAAATGAAGAAATTCAGAGAAATATTGATAAGATATCTTTACATGGTCACAACGTCGTACTACCCCATGACAGAGCACATAATATTGCTTCTCCAGGAAGCATCGGAGGTGATGATGATCATCAAAGAGACCCTACCCTTACGGAAGTTATCGGATTTCTTAACAATCCCAATGATGTGATCAAAGCCAATGCGGTAGCTTATTTACAACATCTGTGTTACATGGATGACTCTAACAAACAGAAAACAGGCGCTCTCGGCGGCATACCTCCTTTAGTTAAATTATTAAGCCATGACAGCATAGAGGTATCTAGGAACGCTTGTGGAGCTTTGAGAAATCTTTCATACGGTAGACAAAACGATGAGAACAAACGAGCGATCAAAAATGCTGGAGGTATACCAGCTTTGATATCGTTACTGCGGAAGTCAAATGAGGCTGAAATAAGAGAGCTTGTAACTGGTGTTATATGGAACATGTCTTCTTGCGAAGATTTGAAAATAAATATAATAGACGACGGTGTAGCAACAACTGTAACTTACATAATAATTCCACACTCTGGTTGGGATCCTCAAGGAAACTGCAGAGAAACGTGTTGGTCTACGGTATTTAGGAATACATCGGGTATTCTACGAAATGTTAGTTCTGCTGGGGAGTATTCCAGGAAAAACTTAAGGGAATGTGAAGGCTTAGTCGATTCATTACTTTATGTTATACGCTGTGCCATAGATAACTCAAATATAAACAATAAAATTGTAGAAAATTGTGTGTGTATTCTACGTAATTTATCCTATCAATGTCAGGAAGTGGAAGATCCAAACTATGACAAAAATTCTTTACATACTCAAAGTAGGGTGGCGGCTAACTCATCGAACGGAGAAAATGTGGGATGTTTTGGCGGTATCAAGAAGAAAAAAGGCGCCCAGTCCTCAAAAACAAAAGAAAATAATTCTGCTACGGGAGCTTCTGGAGGAATAACCAGCGTGGCAACCAGAGGAGAACCAGTACGAGGCATGAAACTTCTCTGGCAACCAGAAGTTGTTCAATTATACTTAGCTCTTTTACAAAGTTGTTTGAACTCTGAAACGTTAGAAGCGGCAGCCGGAGCTCTTCAGAATTTAGCAGCTTGTTATTGGCAACCTAGTATAGACATCCGAGCAGCTGTGCGTAAAGAAAAAGGACTTCCTATTTTAGCGGAACTACTTAGGATAGAAGTTGACAGGGTGGTGTGTGCGGTGGCAATAGCGCTTAGAAATCTAGCAACAGACCAACGAAACAAAGAACTCATAGGAAAGTATGCAATGAGAGATTTGGTACAGAAACTACCTTCTGGAAATCCCCAACATGATCAAAGCATTTCAGATGATACAATTGCTGCAGTTTTAGCGACTTTACACGAAGTTATTAAAAATAATGCAGAATTTTCTAAGTCACTGCTTGAAGCTGGTGGGGTAGACAGACTGATAACTATTACTAGGCAACAACAAAAATACACTCCAAGAGTACTAACATTCGCTGGACAAGTGTTATTTACGATGTGGCAACGTCAAGATCTGAGGGTCGTTTACAAGAAACAAGGTTGGAAAGAACAAGATTTTGTTACTAAGACTGTTGCTGCGCGTAATGCAGGACCTAACTCTTCAAACAACGCAAATAGTACTTTGAATCGCCCAATGGCGTCTCAAAGTGGAACAAGATATGAAGATAGAACAATGAAACCTACTGCCCTGAACAATATAAGTACCGGTGCCTTCAAAAGAAACGAAGAAATCCCAATGGCGGATATGGCATATTCAGAAAGCCAGGCTGTCATAGGTCGATCGTATACCACCGGCCCAGGTCCAAACTCGCCTTCACCGGAAACTTTATATAACCAGGTGAATATGGAGAACAAACGTAATCGCCAACCAAGTCTAGGAAATGCTAGCCATAACCACCTAACGGAAGGGCAGTCGCAGGCACCACTCACCAGTCTGCCTGTCTGGGTTTAACCTCACAAACCCCTGTTATATATTAATGTTCTGTCGTATGTTCAGATTTATAATGCACTAGTATTAAATATGTAGTAATATTTAGTTATAGGTTTAGGGTGAGATTACAGAAAATGCACTACGTCTGCAACTTTGCAGACTTACAGATGCAAGTCAAGGGTACTTGACTCTCTATAGTATCCCTGCTTGTATCTTACATCTGCAAATCCGCCATATTTGCAGATCTGCAAAGTTTGCAGACGTGGTGCATTTTCTGTAATCTTTGCGATGAGCTGCAAGTAAAAATTGTCGGTACATATTGATTTGTGTCAAAAAAAAATTATATAACTATTTTTTTTATTTTATAGTACGAATTATTTTAAATAAATTTCTTATATGAAGTCATTGTTTTATTATTATATTTTATGACTATGAATAATACACTGGCGAGCAAAAAATTGAGGTCACCTTAAAATTTTCATGTTCTTTGAAAAATGTGATGCTAAATACTAAACAGAAATGCATTTTTTTCTAATACTTATTATGTCCTTATTAATATTGACGCAATTTCTGAAGTGACCTCAATTTTTTGCTCGCCGGTGTATCTTATTGTATAGTTTTTTAAATGTCTGAAATTATTTTACCATAATCAATTTTATTATTGTTTATAATATTTGCCTTTAAATGCAGGGTTGATATAAAGTATAAAACTGAGCCTATATAATTAAAATGATAACTATGATATTGATGAATTTTTGCATGGTACAACTTTGCAAGTTTTCATTGTTGTTACTGTACTGTTTCGATTTGCAATAATTAAATTAATGGTTTAGTAAATGTGAAGTGCCGTATCTTTTCAATTTTACAGATACCTACTTATATAAATATCTATTAAACCCAAGACGAATTCGAAAAAACAATATCTATTAAAAGTTACAGAAAAACACAGGGTAGGATGTTTCACTTAAATAAAAGAATTGAGGGTACTTTCAGTTAAATCAGAAGTACAGCAAAAATAAAAGTGTCGTATAGGATGCATTATGCGTAATTACATCAACCTGCAAAGTTTCATTCGTATTATCATTTGGCTCTTAATTTGTGATTTGTTATGATGAATATTATGGTGTGTTTTAAAACATTTAATATTCTTTTGCAAGAAACAACCTTACTCCACACCCAGCTAGTACAAAAACATCCCATCTACGTTAATAATCTACAATTTTAGGCTCTTTAAGCTCACATGAGATGTATTTTTAAAGTAACCCTAATATCCCTGCAACCACCGAATGTCCGCAACGGCAAGACTTTTATGGCACATCTCACAGAAGTTATAAAAGTGAAGTTCGGAAAACATCACACTAGCACTTTTACGGTACTTACCCTGAAAGTTGCTCTGAAACTTTCTATAGATGTTATAATGTGAATTAGTTCTACAGCATTATACAGTGTGTCCACGGATGGACTTAACTATACTTGTGAAAATATTTATTTTAAATTAAAAAAGTAATTTTTCATAATTTCTTTTACTTGTTAAATAAATTCGATTCACATTAAGAAATTATGAAAAATAACTTTTTTAATTTAAAATAAATATTTTTACAAGTATAATTAAGTCCATCCATGGACACACTATATTGTTCTTTGTGTAATGTAATACAGAGAGGCTGAAATTGAGGTATAGTAAAAACTTAATCGAGACATGGAAATTTCAAATAAAACAAAATACTTATATTTATTATTAAAATGTTCTTGAAATCAAGTAGTAATATCACAAAAGTAGAGGTAGGTATATCAAAAACGCAGTTACACATGTGTGATAGTAGAAGCTACCTATAAAGCACTGAACGATTGGACAAAATTTTCTTAATAGTATAATAAGGTATCAATATTGCAAAGGTTCACTCGAAGCTTAAACAGTGAACGATTGTACAAAAATATATTTATATAAGGTACGTTTCAAGATGGCAATTGTATAATGCTAAAAAAACTAGATCTGTGAATAATAGATGATTGCAACAATGACTATATTATACGAGATAGCTGAGTTCCCAGATTGCTTACCTGTTCTCAAAGAGATATATCATCTTTTTAAAATCAAACCTTTTAACTTTTTTTTGTTTAGATATTTATATATTTTTATTTTGTTAGTTTATTATTTATGAAAAGGTGAACAACAATTATTTTATTCTAACTACATGTGGCTTGGAAATATTTTTATTTATGCTATAATGTAACATAAGTATATGACAATTTATTAGAAGAGGATAAATTATATTTTTATATAAAATGATTTTACTTTTCTACAACATATTGAATAAAAAAGAGATTGACCTACTTGTTTAACTATTATTGAAGGAAATTATATAGAAAGTAAAAAAATATACTCAAGTTTAAATCGTTGCACTTATTTTTAGATAATTTTGTCTTACCTACTTTGTTGTTTTAAATAAAACCTCCAATGCATTAATTTTTTTTTAGAATTTTACAAATTTATGCTTAATTATGGATTTCCAAGTTAGTATGAAGATTTTATAAAAAAAAACAACTCATGTTTTTTAGCAAGATATTCTGATGTATGCTCGAGGGCATCGTCTGTGATTTTTCTTAAATTTTCTTCTAGTTTGGCACTTGCTTGAATCTGATGTTTTTTTTTTTTCAATATAGACGTACCATGTATATTCACTTTTTATTAAACTTCAGATGTCATATACCTATTCTTCTTTAGACAAGTCTGTAGTATTTATTTTGCTTCTAAAATTCTTAGAATGTTTTCAGGCACAAAGGAAATCTAAAATACAATATTTTTAAAATGTATTTTTAGTTCGATTAAGTATATTATTACCCAGAAGTTTGTTACATCCTTAGTAAAGTGGAATCACATATTGTGGATTTTGTTTCTTGTAAAAGAAGGGCCCCTAAATCTGTGATAAGTTCAACCTCTCCATGATCCCCTAAAATCACATACCAATAGTGTTATTTTATTTTAGGCCTTTATTTATCATTTACTGTAATTATCTAATGAATAATTATGTATCTAATAACTTAGTGGGTCTTTTGTTGAACTGAAATATTACCTAAAACACATATGTTAGCGACATGCATAGGAATCTCAATTTATATAGCTATGATTCACTTGCAACCCCTTGCTGAGGCTTTGGCGCCTCCAGAAGCCATCATCAGTTATTACCGCATCCTGAATGATCACCAGTTTGATTGCAGTAAGATTTATAACTTCTCAGCCACAAGTATTTCTCCAGATTTGGAAGTAGTGGCTCGTTTTGATTAATTCCTAAAATAAATATAAACTATAGCAGATAAACTTGTAAAATTAAACATGTAAACACCTGTGCACCTTCTAGTACTAAAAGGGGGACCATAAGATAAATTGTATCGTATCATTAATACCATCAACACATTAACAGCTTTAATAACCATTTGTAGGGGATTATTAACCACAGGGTAAATTGTGCATAAGCTAAAAGAGATATTATATCAAATCACAGATAGATATACTTTTATTAATCCCTTCACTCTCCGAATCATTAAATTTTAAGAGCCAACTAGGGAAAAAGGAATTACTGCCACCACTTACATCATAACCAGAAACTAAAATCTGTCTTTCAAAATTTATCAACCCTTTAGTCTGATTAATAGCTTTTTATCGAATTCTGTGATCATAATTTCTTCGAGACATTTAATCAAATCCTCTTTATAAACATAAATAGTATTGACACACTTCGATGTAAAATTCCATCGTGTAGGAGCATTTTAAAGCATACGACTCTGAAGAAAAGGTGTTTGGCAATTTAAAATCTCACAGCAAAAAATTTCTCTTTTATATTTTCAAATTAGAAAAAATATTTATATCTCTATTTGATAGTTTGTCAACTAAGCCTGGAACTTCCAATGCATACCTTTTTGAGATGAGCAAAATAGAATTTGGTCATTCTTGCCAACAATTTGCGAAAATGTGCACTATTAAATTATTTATAAGATTCAGAATTTTTTATACTCTTAAATATACAAACAGATATTTGAAATCCTCGAAAAAATCAGACAAAACCAAGAGAAAAATTAAAATTTTGTCCCATTTATAAATTTTATTGATTTTTTCATCATATTTTTGACTGCTTTATATAAAAAAAAGTTATTTTTCTTTGTAGTTTTATTTCTTAACTATTCCAAAGTTCCAACTAACGTTTTTTCGTAGTCACAATAAATAAATTATTATCATGGTCCAACAAACGCGCACCTTGAATTCGTATCTGGTCTAGGTAATCTGTGCCACGGTACCAGCAGGTCTCGATGAGGAAGGTCAGTGCCCTGCTTGTGACGTATAATCCATCGCATGTGTTTATCTCTTGCTAAGCGATATCACCGTTGTCCTTGTTTTTCGCATCATAATGAGAGGAAAACAACAGAGGCACACATTTACTGTGCCCTGTGCCCATTTAATTTCGGAATTCTCGGAATGTTGCTCAACGCCCGGTCGCCCAGTGTCGTGTCAACGCGGTTTGCGCTGAATATTAGATAAAATAATAGGCATTGAGGAAAATATAAAATATGTAAGTAATTTTTTTTTTGTTTATTATACTAGGGCACGTGCCCAAGTGCCCTTACGGGCAAACCGCCACTGCTTATCAGTGTTATCAAGAGTTCTGGAAAAAGTAATTAAATATCAGATAGAGTCTCACATCAACAATCACAATATTTTACCAATCAGCCAATCTGGTTTCAGACGTGGCACAGCTGTACTTCAGCATTATTAGAGGTCACTGATGATATTTTTAAGGATATTGACACGGGGAATACAAACGTTTTAATACTTCTAGATTCCTTATACAAAAGCCTTTGATACAATTAATCACCGTCTTCTGTTCAGTATTCTTCATTATGTTGGTATTTCGGTTAAAGCAACTGAATTTATCAAAAACTATCTTTCCGATCGTTCTCAGTTTGTTGAGACAAGTGCTGGTAGATCTGATATTAAAAATATTGCCTGCGGCGTGCCACAGGGCTCTATTTTGTGACCAATTTTGTTTTGCATTTACTCTAATAAAATTAGTTTAGCTCTTACCAATGGCAGAGTTTATATATATGCTGATGATACACAAATAAAATTTTCTTTATCTGATTGTAATGTTGCTCTCACTAATGAAATGATTAACACAGAATTAATAAAAATCGTAAATTTTTCTAACAGACATCAGCTATCAATCCCGCAAAAACACAAATACTGGTATTTGGTAAAAATAAAAAAGAACTAACAGATCATGTATCTGAAGTATTGATGGTTTGTGTAGATGTTGCTAAAAATCTGGATCTTCAACTTGATACTGACTTAAAATTTATAAGCCATGTAAATAATTGTATGTACGCTAATTTGAAAATGCTTTACCCGCATCGCCATGTTTTAGATCAAAATACAATACATATATGGTATAAAAAAATACGAAAAGATAAGTCACAAACTAATTGAAACTAACTGGTTGAATACGGAAACTAGAAGGAATTTACACATGGTAACATTGTATCATAAGATCATTTTAATTAAGTCACCTCCTTATCTCTATAACAAAATTACATTTCGAAGTGATATGCATACAAGGTTTAGAGGGCATATATCTCCACCTCTCCATCGTACGTCCAAATTTCAAGGTTCATTCTCTTATATGAAATTTAAACTATATAACTTGGTTCCTCCTAAACTCAAACATCTTTCGATAAATATATTTAAGCAAAAGTACAAACATCTCTTGATTTCAGAAAATATCTAGTCAAAACAACCTTTAAAAATTATAATAAAATGTAATATTACATTTTTTATAAAATTTATATTTATACTTTTGGCTCGATTGTGCCACAATTTATTCTTTGTATTTTATTATTTTTTTGTTCTCTATTAGGGACAGCAATTAATATCAATTATGCTGTCTGCTATTCCTTTTTGTGGTATTATACTATTTTTTAATAAAATTTATGTATTCAATGCAACTTCACCTGTAATACTGCAAATAAATTATTATTTATTTATGTAGAGTGTAGACTATTATGATCCATTCATCTTTTCTTCCTGACCGCCAATATATAAATTAAACTACTAAATGTGCAATTTTTGTTTTTTTTTTTCTTCTTTTATTTTTGTTTCGTTTACATTGATGTGTTACATTTTTAGAGTTAGAATTGACGTAATTTTGTTACATTATGTAATATTTCAAAATAAATTCGCGGCGGAATTGTGCACTTCGTTCGCGCGGTATGTTTCATATAGAGCGGCAACTGAGGCCAGCGTTTATTTTGCATTTATTATTATTTTATAAATTGTATTTATGATACATAAATATTTTTTCAGTATCGAATCCATCCCAAATACACTCTTCATCAACCTAACTGACCTGTTATTCCTCGATTTGAGCGACAACAACTTGGAAACGCTTCCGCCGCAAACCAGGAGGCTAGCAAACCTACAATTATTGAAATTAAACAATAATCCTCTAGGACATTTTCAACTGAGACAGTTACCTTCATTGTTGAATTTGGAAACGTTACACATGCGAAATACTCAGAGAAATTTAAACAATTTTCCTACGAATTTAGAGAGTCTGATCAATTTGTCTGACGTGGATTTGGCGCAAAACAATTTGCCTAAAGTGCCTGACGCTTTGTATTCTTTGATCAATTTGAAGAGGCTCAATTTGAGCGAGAATGAAATTACGGAGCTGTCCACAGGTAAGCAAGCCTATAATATTTATGAAGAACAACATTTAGGTATCCAATTTACTTCCTTTTTGCTCTTTATCAACTGTGTTATTTACTACCTGAGCCTGAGGTTGTTTGACTTGGTCTCCCATAGCATTTCAATCTATAGACCTACCTCCTTATTGAGGACGCCTTTGTCTAAACTATACTTGTTTATTATTAGAAAATCAATCATTAATTAATGAACAATTTTCATACATTATTCAAAATCATAAATTCATGGTCGACGAAAACACAATTTTAATAAATCTGTTTGCATATCTGGAAATAAGACTGGCATAAAAAAATGTTGGGAGTTATTAATCATTCTGTAATATTATGGACCTTTTATTGTTTTGTAACTGATCAGCTCTCCTAAGGTTGTACCTACTGCACCGCATAGTACAAAATAACTGTAACCAACCTGGCAGATTCATTAAATCAAAAATCTTTGATAAAGTAAAAGATCAAAGTCTGATAAAATAAATTCGAATCAGACAGATTAGGATAAACTTCGCCATTTATACTTTATTGTTTCCATAAGTTATTTTCCAAGTTTCTTAAAGACTTGTTTCAATCTGTCAGAATTAATATTTTTATTCAAATTGAATTGTCGCTTGTTCATGTGTTTCACAGGAAAGCCAACTTTGGCTTCCTATTTTTATTTTTATTGTTTCATCAATGACATCGATAAAAATCTTTAACCTTTAGCATCAAAATTTGTTGTGTAATTAATTTATATAATAATAACCTTGTCTGCAGAGTGATTTAAATTAGACCAAAAGTCATTGATATCTTGTGAGAAGATTACCCAATACCCAGTAGTGAGAGGAATTCCTCAGGGTTTGGTTATGTTAATAATTGGAATTTTTTATTTCCCATAGGATTGCTTACTGTACTGTACATACACTCTTATTTTAGATTTATTATTACTGTCTGTTGTAAAAGAGAATACCTCTTTAAATAAAAAAATATTGTTTTTAATTTTTAGCAATGGAGATGTGGCAAAAAATAGAAACCTTAAACTTATCCCACAATCAAATAACCAGTCTTCCTGCTTCTCTATGTAAATTATCTTCTTTAAGACGTTTGTATATTAACGACAATCAGCTGGATTTTGAAGGTATACCTTCGGGAATTGGGAAATTAGGCAATTTGGAATTGTTTTCAGCCGCAAACAATCGCATAGAAATGATACCGGAAGGTCTTTGTAGGTAATCAAACATGTGCCTTCTAGATTTGTTCAAAATAAATAATGTGTAATCCATTTTGCAGGTGTGGTTCCTTGAAAAAATTAAATTTGAGTTCAAATCGGCTGATTACTCTACCAGACGCTGTTCATCTTTTAACCGATTTAGTTAATTTGGACTTGAGGAACAATCCGGACTTAATAATGCCTCCAAAACCGGTGGAAGCCTCGATAGGAGCTGGTATCGAATTCTACAATATTGACTTTTCGCTGCAGAATCAGTTGAGGTTAGCTGGTGCTCAGGTTCCTGTACCCGCGCCTGTTCAGAGTAAGTATTTTTATTTATGGGTTCGTTCCTTTTTACAAAAAAATTAATAAAATAATAAACTTTTATAAATAATACTATATTTAGAGTGATCCACTTAAAATATTATACAGAACAGAGTTGACACAAATTTGCACACATTCATATTAATATTGTAATTTTCTTTTTTAACAATGTCAAGTAAGTTTCACTTATGGCCTTTGGGAAAACAAAAAATAATTTTGTGTTCAAGGCAAACAATTAGTTACAAAATAAATATATAAGTGTGGTGTTTACCCAACTAAATAATATTCCATTCGTAAGATTTGTATTTAATATGACAATAATCAGAATGACATTACATACATAATATTGGCACACTCCAAAATATAAACGGAAAAACTATATTAATCTAAATAATAATACACTACACACTTCTTCCCTAAAAGATCATCAATACGCCCATCGTTCAGGTGGTTTTTAATTCTTTGAGGTCTAACACCAGTCGTGGGATAAGCAGTGACGGCTGGTCCTATGAGGCAGATGAGACAATGCCTCGCCAAAATATTTAACAAATAATTAACAAATACTTTATTGTTTTTGTTTACTATTTCAATTCAAACATCGCAAAATTACATCTGTACTACCCATATATCTCTAATTTATATACCTATGTTATGTTGAGAATGGGGTGTTAATACACTGCGACCTAAAATATCTATTACTTCTGTCGCCAATGCACTAAGGAAATGTCTCAACGCCTATAACGACCCTTCCAATCCTATTTTCTCAAGGAAGTGTAGGATTTGAAGTGGCTTCAAGTTAGGTAAATCTCCCTCTTCTATTTGATATCCTCCTAGATATAGTGCCCTTGGATTCTGGAGTGCTACACATTCAGTTAGGGTGTGAATGGAGGTTTCGTCCTCCTCACAGAATATGCACTCACTATCCTCTACTACTCTCAGTTTACTTAGGTGTCCTTTTAGTCGGCAATGCCCGGTAAGGATCCCTGTTACAATACGTAGCCTGTTCTTGCTCAGGCAGATGCAGGCTTCCGATCTTTTCTGGTTATATTCACCCAGAAGTATCTTGGCCTGCCTCAGCCCCAAGAGATTGTTCCAATTATCGGTTCTTCTACTGCCTAATTCTTTTTTAATCTCTCCTAATATTATGTTACTGCGGATACCGCAGAACGGCTCAGGTCCTACAAACGGTGTTTGAGCCCCTTTCCTTGCAAGACTATCTGCAATCTTGTTACCCTGTACTCCGTTATGTCCCGGGACCCAAGTGAGAGTAACTCTATTTTTCTCGCCTACCTATCTATATCTATAAATAATTTAAAAAAGCCTCAGCCATTTACTTAAGACTAAAGCAAGAGCGAAACAAAACACTCCGGACCGACTCAGCTTCATTCAATGTGATAACAAAGGATATCGAGGCATGCCTCGATTCCCGTTTACCTAAATAAGAGGACGCGAGATCGAATGACACCGAATGCCGTCCACTCCGTATTTTGATTCATTGCACTCATTGTAGATGTTTTGTGTTTTGTCTTTTAGGTTAAGAGTTATAATTAATAATTAATGTGTCCGGTTTTTCTAATATTTCATCATTTTTATTTGTAAATACATAAGTGTAGTGATAGAGAAATATCAGATTCAGAATGGCAGTAGCAGGAATATCGCAGGTAAATAATTTATCCACTGAAGAACTAAAAATTACACAGGACGTTGTACATTTTTTAATAAATACGTGTAAATTTTCAAGTTTCAGTTATGACAATAATTATATGTTGTGAAAGAAATGAAATGTCCAACTCCAGATTTAAGTGAGTCTCTTATTAACATTGGCGTAGGTGGTAAACCAAATCGGGGTTTTACTAATGCCTGGTATCAAAAATACGATTGGTTAACTGGGAGTTTGACTATCAATGCGTTATTTTGTTGGCCATGTGTTTTATTTGGATTGGACAGTAGTAGTGAAAAGGTTTGGTAAAAAAGTGGGTATAAACTCCGAGCAATTACTAATAGAGGGAGCGTGAAAACGAGTTTGTAGGCGATTGTTGTGTTAGCAACATCTGTAGAGGAAGTGAGGACGTGGGCACAAGAGGGAAGGTAAACATCCTTCTTGTTCAGTGGCGTATCATTTATCTATAGAAACACACATTGTCCAAACGTTTTAATTGTTAAAAAAACTAAAAAATTTGCCAAATTTACTATTTTTTAAATGAATACTGCCTTATATGTGTCTAATGCAGGAAATGAAACAAAATCACTGTAAAGGTCTAATTTTTTCAATTGAAGAATAAAACCTTAAAACCAATTTTATTATAAATAAATACAGGAGCGGCTAGTTTCGGCCCTACAGGAACATTTTCCCCCTCGGGGGGAGTAGATGTTGCTAACAAAATTTAGCGCGGGGAAGGGGGGAAGACTCCCTCTAGTAGTAATTGCTCGGAGGGTATAAAGGCTTAAAAAATTTGTCTCGTGATCTGTCACTACATAATAAAAGTGCGAATCATATATGTTCAAACTGCAAATGAATACTCATGAAACAACAAAAACAAAACAATAATAGACAATGCTCGATTAATTGAAATAGAAAATTGTAATGCCAAGGTTAAAGACAAATTTTGAGTAGTCTTATAGATATTTCTATTCATTTGTGTTTGCAATAATTAATGTTTAGGGCCACAATGAATCTGATGAATCATTAAATCGAGGGAATTTTCGGGAACTTGTCACTTTTGTCTCATTTAAAATTTTTTTTAGACAAAGATAGCGATACTAGATCGATTTTTTCTGGAACGTCTAAAACCAAATTGAATTAATAGAATGTTCGGCATATTAGGATGATTCTATTATAATATGAAATCATTCCTAAAAAAGATTTTAACTGTTTCACATTACTTGGAACAGGAATCTTTCTAATAGCTTCCAATTTATACGTACATTTATGTCTACCATCTTTATCTAAAATCAATCCTAAATAAGAAATACTATTGCAAAAGAATTTACACTTCTCTTTTTTAATTGTCAACCCACAAAATTATTTATAAAGTTACATATTATGACACATTATTGAAACATGAAATGTTGTGGAAAACATTTTTATCACTTTTATTAATATTTGTTTGATAATAACCGTTTATCAATTACTCAGTAAAACTTTATTTATGAGATATCACGGAATGTAAATTTATGAAATTGCAACTTTTTATGATTAATTAAAAAAAATTCGTAAAATCATCATTACTACTTTTTTTATCCATATAAAGATTGTACCTACCAATCTACCAATAGTTGTTTGAGTTGTAATTTATTTCTACTATTATTTTTAATTTTGCCATTCGTTTTATAACTCATTTTGTGTGTTACACTTCTATAGGAATTATTAATTTGCAGATCCTAGTAAAGATCCCGTTGCGAGAAAAATGCGATTGAGAAAGGGTCGAAGAGATCACGAAGAAGCCGATCAGGATCAGGCCAAGATTTTGAAGGTTTGTATTGCTATATTAAAAAACGAATGATTAAGAAACTTTATATTATTTAATAGGGTATGAAAGATATAGCAAAAGAGAAGAATAGAAATGTAGAAGAAGATACTAAGGCTGACTCTCCCAAGTAAGTGATAAAACATTGTATTTAATTCGTATTTACTTGTTAACTAGCGCATATACTATCTAGTGTAGGATTATGTAGGAGGTGAGATTTGGTTCTTCAGAGTGTTCTGTTTTGTGTTTTGTACTTCAAGTCGATCTTATTTCTTTTTCTCCGCCTTCTTCTTTGTCTTCAATTCGGCCTAGTCACGCCAGTTGTCTCTCCTGGATTACGATTACGTAAGTCCTTAGAAAATCCAAGAGATGGTCCTCGTAGCGATGGTTTGTTTTTATTGAGCATCATTACTCACTAGACAGCTGACAAAACCTCAGTTATATACTCGGCATGGTTTTATTTTTATTGTTGACTACTAGGTGACCCGATCCCGCTTCCTGGAATTTCTCAAACCTTAATTATTAAAAGTGAATAACAGTTTTCGTTTCTAAATTTTTTCATGCAATTTTTATTTTTTTATCAATTTTTATTATTTTTTGTTATTTTTTGTTATTTTTTTTTATTTTTTATTAATTTTTATTAATTTTTATTAATTTTTATTAATTTTTATTAATTTTTATTAATTTTTATTAATTTTTATTAATTTTTATTAATATTTATTAATTTTTAATAACTTTTGTTAATTGTTAATAATTTTTGTTAATTTTTATTAATTTTTATTAATTTTTATTAATTTTTATTAATTTTTATTAATTTTTATTAATTTTTATTAATTTTTATTAATTTTTATTAATTTTTATTAATTTTTATTAATTTTTATTAATTTTTATTAATATTTATTAATTTTTATTTATTATTATTTAGTTTTACGATACTCCCCATTTCCCCTCCTTTAAATGTGAAAATCCAAAAACCTTAAAATGCGTCATTATTTACTAATAATGAGTAACTACAATTCCAATTTTCAAGTTTTTACCTTTAAAAACCCGAAAGTCTCATACAAACTTTCACCTCCCGTTTCCTCCATTAATGTCTATTTATGATAAGTAGCTATAATTCCAATTTTTAATTTCCTACCTTTAAAGAAAGCGATACCCCCATTTTTATTCATTTTTAGTTTTATTAATTTCCATTAATTTTTAATTATTTTTATTACTTTTTAATAATTTTTATTTATTTTCACTTATTTCTATTTATTTTTATTTATTTTTATTTATTTTTATTTATTTTTATTTATTTTTATTTATTTTTATTTATTTTTATTTATTTTTATTTATTTTTATTTTTTTTTCATTTATTTTTATTTATTTATTATTTATTTTTGCGATACTTGGGAATCCTCCTTAAAATGTAAAAATCCAAAAACCTTGAAATACGTCATTATTTACCTATGATGAGTAACTAGAATTCCAATTTTCAAGTTTCTACCCTTATTATTACCTTTATTTTTAATAATTTTTGTTAATTTTTATTAATTTTTATTGTTTTTTAAATATTTATATTTGTTTTCTTATTACTTTTTATTATTTTTTAATTTTTATTATTTTTTATTACTTTTTAATAATTTTTATTTATTTGCATTTATTTTTATCTATTTTTATTTATTTCTATTCACTTTTATTTTTTTTTTATTTATTTTTACGATACTTGGGGATCCTCCTTAAAATGTAAAAATCCAAAAACCTTGAAATACGTGATTATTTACTTATGTTGAGTAGCTAGAATTTCAATTTTAAATTTCTACCTTTAAAAAACCGAAAGTATCATACACACTTTCATCTCCCTTTTCCCCCCTTAATATGTAAAAATCCAAATACCCTAAAACATCTATTTATTTACGATAAGTATCTACAATTCCAATTTTTAAGTGCCTACCTTTAAAAAAATAGATATCCTCATACAAACTTTCACATCTTCCCTGTCTTTCCCTCCTTTCCCCCCTTTTCTCCATGTCCTCCCTTAAAATATGAAAATTCAAAAACCTTGAAACAAGCTATTATTTATTTGTGATGAGCTATAATTCCCTTCCTTTACCTCCTTTTCCCTCCTTTTCCCCATTTCCCTCCTTTTCTCCATTTTCTCAATTTTCCCTTTCCCTCCTTTTCCCCATTTACCTCCTTTTCTCCATTTTCTCAATTTTCCCTTTCCCTCCTTTTCCCCATTTCCCTCCTTTTCTCCATTTTCTCAATTTCCCCCATTTTATTCCTTTCTCCCCTTTTCTCCCTTAAAATATGAAAATTCAAAAACCCTGAAACACGCCATTATGTATTTGTGATGAGCTATAATTCTCGCCCTTTCCCTCCTTTTTCCCCTGTCCCCCTTGTAATTCTTTTCTCCATTTCTCCCATTTTCTTCCTTTCTCCCCTTTTCTCCCTTAAAATATGAAAATTAAAAACCTTGAACCACGCCATTATTTATTTGTGATGAGGAGCTATAATTCTCTCCCTTTCCCTTCTTTTCCCCCCTTGTCACCCTTTTCTCCATTTCCCCCATTTTCTTCTTTTCTCCCCTTTCCCCCCTTAAAATATGAAAATTCAAAAACCTTGAAACGCGCCATTATTTATTTGTGATGGGAGCTATAATTCTAATTTTCAAGTTTTGACTTTTAATAAAATCGATACTTCCATACAACCTTTTAACCCCCATTTCCTCCCCTTAAAATGTGAACTTCCAAAAACCCTGAAACACGTCATTATTTATTTATGCTCAGTAGCTGTATTTCATATTTTCATGTTTCACTACCACTATGCATAAAATCATGTCTGATCCCTTGCTCTGTAAAAAACAAATCTATCCCACGCGAACCGTATATTTTCCGGGATAAAAATTAGCCTATGTGCTGTTCCAGACTATAGCCTATCTTTATGGTACATTTCATCCAAATCTGTTTAGCCGTTCTGACGTGATTGAGCAACGAACATCCATCCATACATCCAAACTTTCGTATTTATATATTAGTAGGATTGAAGCAAGAAACTTTTGTTTATTTAGAATCTTCACCAAGATAATACACGGGTGCACACCTGTGCAGTTTCGATGGCTAAAATTATGCAACTAAAGTTTTGAGTTATTACAACATCCACCTTAATCACCGGATTCGGCTCCCAGTGATTTTTTATTTCCAAACTTTAAAAATGGCTCGGTGCATACCGGTTCACGTCAAACGCCCAAATAAATTGCTATTTTGAGAACCTTCCGAAATGTTACTTTTTAGATGACTTAGTAAGTTGTAGAAATGCTTGGAAAATTGTATAGAGCTGAAAGGAGATCATGTTGAAAAATAAAAAAGCTACCTGAGGGATGGGTGGCTCAGTGATAGAGTCTCTGCCTGTGGATCCAAGGATCCCAGGTTCGAATCCCACCGTTGGCCGGGATTTTTTATTTAATTTAATTATTTAAAATTAATTCTGATGCCTTGGTAGGATTCTCCACTCGATCATTCACTGTTAGATTCTAATTAACAGTGCTGTTCCTAAAGTGGCGCTGGGAAACAGTAACAAAGCCTACACAGAACACGAGGCTAATGGCCTTAGTAGTCGATGCCGATGACACCAAAGTAAAAAAAAAGCTACCTTAAATAATTTGTTTTTCTTTATTTTTCTAAGGACTTGTTGAATTACCCTCCTATTTTATCTATTACTTTTATTTTGAGTTGTTCTCTGTAAGTTTTATTTCTTATTATGTATCATTTTCTTTTCCTCTGAATTCTCATTGATGTCAGAGCTGGGTAATTACATGTACTTTAAAAATAATTACAATTACAAAGTACTTTTTCAAAAAAGGAATTAATTACAAATACATGAAAAAAGGAATTAGCAATTGCTTTTATAAATACTTTTCTAATTACTTTGCCGATAAAACAACAAATTATGATAGAATTAAGGAACCATGAACCAACCGGACCGGTACAAATAAAATTTTTAAATAGGTAATTCAAAGTGTCAAACTAACAGCCGTTTGCAACGACTTTCTTGAGGATTACTTAAAGTTAAAAATATCTTAAGGGCTGTTTGTATAAATCTTACTTAAAGTTAAACTCGGTTTGAGGAGATACATGACAAATTTTGTATGGCATAGGTACAGTCTAAACACCATTTAGCACTTAGGGCTTGTTTCCCCAAACATTAGACTGCACATATAGAATCGGAAATTGACATGTATCACCTAAAACTGCTTAATTTTAAGTAAGCTTTATACAACCAGCCCTAGTGTATTGTTTTCTGTACCATTAAAGGTCTTCTTAACTTAAGGGGAAAGACAAAATCGATAAGAAGTATAAAAAAATTGAACAGGTTAGTAAATAATAAAATGTGAACTTTTAAAAGTTTATTGATTTGGAACAAAAATACAAAAGTTCGTGTACCTACGCATAGGTACTTTTATATTTTACCTAATCTGAATTTTTGTTTTGTTTTAATTAAATATTGAGGTTGTAAATAAAAGAAATAGGATAGGAAGGAATAAGTTAGCCATTTTGATCAATTATGAATAATTTTGACGGAAAAATTTTCATCGTTCAAAAATCTCTATTTTTTAACAAATCAAGTCTGATAGATCAATGAAATTAGTTATTTAAGGAGAATCTAAAATTGTAATAAAATACAAGGTGTGCCAAAAAACTTTGATACGCCACATTTTTTTTGGACATACTATGTATACAGTATGTCCCCCTAAGTTGGAATCATATGGAAAACTTTTTTATTAATTTTAGTAAAAAAAGTTATTCTTCATAAAAAGTTCTGCATGATCCAAAACTTAAAATACAGTCATCAGATATCAAATTTTTCAAGCCGTACGAGGTTTGGCAAAAAATATGAATTTTGCTCAAGAGTAAAGTACTTTTATGTTTGACAAAATCGAAAATTTTCATTAAGAAAATTGCTAAATTCTTCACAAACATCAAGAAAAGGAAAGCATATCATGTTTATAGGAAAAAAGAGAGAATGTTTCAAAAGCTAACGTAATTTATAACGTTTTCAGATATTTACAATCAATGTGTAGAAAATCTGTTTTTCAGATAGATCGGTGTAATTGCATATTTGAATGTACTTTTCAATTCTAATCAACTTTTCTTAATGAAAATTTTCGATTTTGTCAAAAATAAACGTACTTTACTCTTGAGCAAAATTCATATTTTTTGACAAACCTCGTATACGGCTTGAAAAATTTGATATTTAATGAATGTATTCTAGGTTTTAGATAAAAACTTTTTATGAGCAATAACTTTTTTCCTAAAAATTAATAATAAAAAAGTTTTCCATATGATTCTAACTTAGGGGGACATACTGTATATTTTAAAATAATTTTAAAAAGGTGACTTTCCTCATCATATATACTTCAAAAATAGGAGCCATTTTAAAACTTTATCGATTCGCTATAAACGTCAAAGGCGTGGTAAATTATCCTGTATAATGTGTTATTGTTATTGACAAATTATACCGAAGCTGAAATAACAGTTTAAGCAACAAGAGTGGATATGGAGTTGTACAGTATATTTTTTCTACGACCCACTAATGAAAATATAATATTTTGGGTTATTAAACTAATTTTAAAATAATTTATGTTTTTTTTTACTAATTCATATAATAAAATAAACAAAAGAAAATTAGTCATTTGTCCAGATTTGAACCCGGGCTATTCGCATGGATGGCAGATGCTTTGTCCTCAGCTCCACCGCCACCTTTATGATTTTGGTTTTAATACTCGTAATTAAACTAGTTATATATAGTTTGATTAAAATTTAATTTTTTTTCGAATTGTGGCCCAAATAAAAATAAAAATGTTATTATTTATCGATTCTAAACAAAAATAACTCCTTTATTTAGTGTATATTTAATCTCAATAACTAAAAAATATACTGATAATTAGTTTGACAGAATAATTGTCACTTATTTAAAATTTTAAAAATAATAGCAGTTTGGTATCCAAAATATGAACTGTGATTGGTGGATTTCATTTTTTTTGCAGTGTTCTCACTACTTAGAATATATATGAAATATATTCGTTCAGTTGAACGCAATAGCTTACTTTTCCTTTTTTTAATCTGTGCGTAGATAAGCTAATATCCCTGTAGGTGTAGAAAAAAATATTTTTTCTACGCAAACATTTCAATGTAGAAAACTAGAATAACTAGAAATATCTACCCAATGTAAATAAGTAGTTTTTAGTATTTACCCTATAAAAACTGCTATTTGCACCACTTCATACTATATTTCCTTAGTTTATAATGTTTATGCAACATAAATTATGTTTATAATAATATAAATAGAAAATACGTCTTAGAAATAAGGATATCTGCATCTACTTGTCCCTTACTGTTATTATTTTGGGTTGAACAATTTCACTACTTCACGGCACAACGCTTTCCTCAAATGCATTCAAACATGATATGGATGCGAGTCCGAGCTCTAGTGACCGGTTCGAACAAGGAATTTTTGGTTTTTATATTACATGCATCTTATAAACATGCATTTAAAAGTAAATGTAATTAAAAAATGTAATTGTACTTATAAATGTAATTGTAATTAAAAAAAAAAAAGGAATTGTAATTAGAAAAGTAATTGTAATTGGAAAAGTAATTGTAATTGAAAAAGTAATTGTACTTATGACAAATAATTGTATTTAGATAATTTATATAATATAAATTAAAATAATTACAAAGTACAATTCCATCACAGATTTTGTTGCAATTACAATTCCAAATTACCTTGAGAGAGAAAAGTACTTAAATACAATTACAAATTACATGAAAAATGTAATTGTAATTATTAATTACTTTTTAACTCGGAATTACCCAGCTCTGATTGATGTTGCTTTAATTCTGCTTCTACTTCTTTCTTTTACTACTTACTTTTCTTTCAGTTATTTTTTCTGTTTTCTAGTCTCGTCTATAATTCTCTCTGAAGTATTTTAAGCTTGTCACGTTGTTAATTCATATTTGAAACAAACATTACTTGCATGTGGTATAATTTGAGTTAGTCTTAACGTATGAACCTCTATTCTTGTAGTAACGAGACATATGTTCCCCCTTATTGGTTTTTTTTTCCCATCTAAACATTTTACCGACTTAATGTTGTTTATTTCTGTAGACCAAAACGTTGGGACGAAGCTTTGGAAAAACCTCCTCTTGACTACTCCGAATTTTTTGATGAAGATACTGGTCAACTACCTGGTCTAACCATTTGGGAGATTGAGAATTTCCTACCAAATCGCATAGATGAAGTAGCGTACGGCAAATTTTATGAAGGAGATTGTTACATGGTATTAAAAACCTCTATTGATGAAAACCAATCGCCATCTTGGGAAATATACTTTTGGATAGGAGGAAAAGCTTCGGTAAGTTATTTTTATTACTTTTATCTGCTACTTCTTTCGCGCGGAATATGTTATTCGATTATTTTAATACATAGGTATCCTTTGATATAGATGCCAAGAAATAGATGAGTTCGAATCCCTGGGTTGAATTTTTAAAATTATTTATTAAATTTGTTTTTTTCACTTATCATTATTTCGTAGGGGTTATTTTGTAATTTATTTGAAGACTTCCAAAGAAATTATATACCTTTGTTTTCGGATCAATAACCTATAGTTTTTTTTTTTTAACTTTAAACCGATTTTTCACTATATAACTATTTATATATTTAGTCATATTTGTTTTTACAGGTTTAATGTTTCTAGATAAAAAAAACCTTTTTTTTATTTTCAGTTGGATAAAAAAGCTGGATCAGCTATTCACGCGGTAAATTTGAGAAATTTTTTGGGTGCTCAATGTCGTACGATTAGAGAAGAACAAGGCGAGGAATCAGAAGAATTTTTAAGTCTTTTCGAGACACCAATTACCTACATAGAAGGCGGAAGAACTTGTAGCGGCTTCTATACAGTCGAAGATATGGTAAGCTAAAAATAAATAATTTTTTTGGTCCTATTGATTTTTTTTGTTTATTTTTAGAATTTCGAAACGAGATTATACCGGATTCACCCAGCAGGTCCGTCTATCCATTTGGAACCAGTAGCGATTTCGGTTGACTCGCTAGATCCACGATTCGTGTTCATTCTTGACACTGGCATGTTGATATTCGTATGGAATGGTAAAAAAGCCAAAAATACTTTGAAATCGAAATCTAGATTGATGTGCGAAAAAATTAATAAGAACGAACGGAAGAACAAAGCTGAGATTTTAACGGAAAACGCTGGCAGCGAGAGCAAGGAGTTTTGGATCAATTTGGGACTCGAAGACGGTCTTCGACCAGAGGAACCACCCAAGGTAAAACAAACAAACAAAAAAAAACATATTTAGTAATTTAAATAATATTTTAACCAGATAAGTTATTTATATATAATTCTTTTTGTTAGGAACATGTTGTAGATGAGTTCGTACCTGTTCCGCCGCGACTGTATCAGGTTCAATTGGGAATGGGTTATTTGGAATTACCTCAAGTAGAATTATCACAAGGAAAATTAGTCCACAATGTGTTGTTGAGTAAAAACGTGTACATGTTGGATTGTTATTTGGATGTTTTTGTGTGGTAAGTTTTTTTAATAACCATAACCAAAGTAATTAATTTTTTTTTTTCTATTTTTAACGATATAATGATATTTTAATAACTTTATGTTAATCAAAATTAATAGATATTTTAGTGTCAAAGATAAAGAGTGAAATGAACTAATTAAATCTTGCCTTTAGGTCTGAACTGTGCGTTTTGGCCTGCAGGTCATATCTGAGCATGTAGGGCAAATAATGGAGGCCCTATACGTGTCTTTTAATTGTAGTAAGACTAGCACCAGAGTTCGCCAACAAACTAACTTAGAAAAGTCGAAAACAATGTCCAGTATAAAGATGGGAATCAGGCAAATTTAGAAATTCAGCCATTTGGCAGGCATCTTACCAAATGTGTTGATTCCAACTGGAGTCTAGGCACATTTATTTTTAATACATTTTATAAAAACTCTTGAATGATTAATATCCACTGGACGAAGGGCTATGTACTTTTTATAGTAGTTCATATACAAAGTACCACTTACAACGCAGGTGCGTTGCACATTAGTTTTTGTGTCCGCTATATGCACAACTAGCGAAGTTCCGGAATTATCGCTATTATTTAATGTCAAATCGCACAGTTCCTCTCGACGACCGGCTCCAAAAACCAAAATTTGCAGCAACTTTCTGCATTAGATATATTTCAGCCGGGGCTTCTGCGAGAAATTTGTCGATTTGTCCCCTTGTCAATACTTTTGACTTTTTCTGTCGATATCCTTCACCCTTCAAAAAAGCCACAAACCCGTATGGGGTCCGTATAAGATTAAGAGTGTCGGAATTAAAAGAAAAAAATTATTGCAATAAAAAGTACTCATTTTATATAGTAAATACCTAAAAAAAAATTTGCGGAAAATCCACAAAATTTTGAGAAAAATGAATTAAAAGTTGTAATTTTATAGGTTATTTTGGTTTTATCATACTATTATGTAGGTGACAATTTCGAAGTTTTAATGATATTATAATTGAAGTAACTTACTTTTGTTACATTTTAACTGAAATTAGATATCTATGGAAAATTATTTTGCATTTGCTAATTTAATTTATATTAAAATTAAATGTATTGTCTGTTTAACCATTTACTTCCACAAAACATAAAATGAAAAAATAAATCATCATATTACCTTTGTTGGCACATGACACATGGGGTAGTTGAGTTTGCACCTTTGCCATATTAACAAAGTTTCTCCAGGTTTTATGTGTCTAGACTTTATAGATAGATGAGAATTCAGAGGTAATTTGAAGCACTAAAAAGTACTTGTTTTATACAGTAAGTTAAAAATTTATGAAAAATTACGAATTTTTAAGAAAAATTTTATCAAAAATTGCAGTTTATTTTAGCTTATTTGCCTTATTATTGACATCGAACATGTATGTATTATTCACAAAACAATTATGGTATTGATATGAAAAGAGATATACGTATCTGTGATTTTTTACTTTTAAATTTTTGTGGTGTGGCATTTAAATCGTTTAAGTAGTAATTACCTACTTTATGTAAAATGGAATTTAATTACATAATAGATGTTATGAGAGTTTATAATAAAACTGATAAATAGTTGTTGGAATGGATGAGTAGGAATAAGTTAGTGAAATCACAATTTAGATGCAAACAACGTCTTTGCCTAACCTAACGTCGGCCGAGCGTGTCTTTTCCATCTACATCATAAGATCATGCTACGCTCGTCCCACCCACCTCCTAACCACTACAGAAGAGAGCGAGCGAAGGGAGCGCGCCTGGCCTATGTTTCGAAATTTGCGCTAATTTCGAAACGTAGGACGGGCGCGCCCTTTTTCCCCTTTTTTTTCACCTACACCATAAGAGCACGCTTACGCAGAAGAGAGCGAAGCGAGCGCGCCCGCCCTACTTTTCGAAACTCGCGTGAATTTTGAAACGTATGCCGGGCGTCCCATTTTCCCTCTTAGAGCACCCTTACGTAAAAGGGAGCGAGCGAAGCGATTGCGCCCGGCCTACGTTTCGAAATATGTATGTTAGCATAGGTCTTATGATAGCCGTGTAAGTCCATGCTACGATTCTGGGGGAGAAACCCTAGGTGCGCCCCACGGTTCGGCGGTATTGTTCTTAAGCAATGTATGCTCTTTTAACTCTGTTTTCTAAGTGCGAGTTCCATGTTAACTTGCTGTCAAAGGTGAGACCTAGGTACTTCACCTCTGTTGCAAAGTTTAGTTTTGTGTTTAGGAGGTCTGGAGGTTTTAATTCCATGTTCATTCTTTTCCTTGTGAAAAGGGCCATTTCTGTCTTCTTAGGATTGATAGACAGTAAATGGTCCTTGCACCACTGTTCTATATTTTTTAGAGCTACTTGCATTCTTTCGCAGAGTATGTTCTCAAAATTCCCTATTTGACTGTCAATAAGAAATATAAAAATACAAATCTAAAACCATGCACATTTTGATTGAACCTTTATAGCCAGATTTCCCTATTTTCATTTTTTTGATAAAATTATTTTGTGGTCGTAGTAAAAATATTGTACATTACTTGTTAAAGGTGATTTTTTACACACTCGTAATATACTTTTACTGATGCAGATTTAAATTGTGGGTACCTATACAAGGTAATAAAAACACTTTTGTATTTGGTTCTTTGGCTTTAAGAGTGTTATTAATATACAAAAAGTCGAAAAGTTAATCAAAACTCACTGATCACAAATGAAATGCAATACCTTTGACTGGGACTGGACACAATGTATTTTTTGTAATGAAAATCTTTTAAATGAAATGTTTTTTTTATTAATTTTAGGATTGGAAAAAAGTCTACCAGACTTGTAAATGCTGCTGCTGTAAAATTATCCGAGGAGCTGTTCAATATGATTGACAGGCCCGATTATGCGCGTGTTACTAGAGTAAGAGAAGGAACTGAAACACAGGTAAAATCATTTTAAAATGATTTAGGAAGCATTGTTCCTAATTTTAATTCTTTTAAGATATTTAAATCCAAATTTATCGGTTGGGACGAAGTAATAGCAGTAGACTTCACCAGGACTGCCGAATCGGTCAAAAAAACTGGCGTTGATTTGATTAAGTGGGCGAAAGTACAAGAGACGAAAGCAGATCTGACGGCTCTTTTTACTCCCAGAGTACCGCCCATGCCTTTGGCCGAAGCTCAACAACTTATGGAAGAATGGAACGAAGATTTGGAAGCCATGGAATCTTTTGTGCTGGAAGGAAGAAAATTTGTTCGACTTCCCGAAGAAGAACTAGGCAAGATAATTGCTTTAATTCTAAGTTAACTATTAATCACGATTCATTTTTAGGAACGTTCTATTCTCAAGATTGTTACGTGTTTTTATGCCGTTATTGGGACGATGCAGATGAGACAGAACCCGAAAATGAAATGGACGATTACCAGTGGGTTTGCTATTTCTGGCAAGGCAGAGATGCCGGTAACATGGGTTGGCTCACGTTTACCTTCACTCTCCAGAAAAAATTCAAAGCTTTGTTTCAAGACAAGCTTGAAGTATTAAGGACGTACCAACAGCAGGAAAATATGAAATTCATGGCACATTTCAAGAGAAAATTTATTATCAAACAAGGGAAACGAAATAAAAAGGATGAGAAGAGACCTGTTGAGTTTTATCATCTTAGATCTAATGGTAGCGCTTTGTATACCAGATTGGTACAGATCAGACCTGATGCTTCTTTACTAAACTCAGCTTTTTGGTAATAATTTTTTTTTGTTGGCGCAGTTGGTAAGATTTTAATTCATACAATTATTTTAGTTACATTCTGAACGTACCATTTGAACAAGAAGAAGATTCCGGCATCGTTTATGTTTGGATTGGTTCCAAATGTGACCCAGACGAGGCGAGATTAATCCAAGAAATAGCTGAAGAAATGTTCAATAGTCCTTGGGTCACATTACAAGTTCTGTCTGAGGGCGAGGAACCAGACAATTTCTTTTGGTATGGACTGGGTGGAAAGAAACCCTATGAACTTGATGCCAACTACATGGAATTCACGAGACTGTTTAGGTGTTCCAATGAAAAAGGATACTTTATCGTTTCTGAGAAGTGCTCTGATTTTTGTCAAGTAAGTTTTTACAAAACTGAATACATATTAAAATCGACATGGGGGTTAACGAATGTCAATAATTTTAGCATTAGAATCTAAAATTGGACACTTACCATTTTTTGACCATTATTCTACCCCTAATTGTTGACCTACCACAAATCTAAAACATACCTATTAAAAGCAGTTTGGGATCCTACGAGAAATATTTTTTGTGTATTATACTCACGTAAGATTATGAAATTTGCAGTAGACAAAAATTTGAAAATGTTTATGAAGTAATTGTTTATAATGGAGTCCTTTATTATTTATACAGCCTACTGTTTGTCTTTCAAACTTGCTATAAAATCCAATTTGCAATAGACAAGCATTGTTCAATTATTATTTATTGTTAAATGAAACACTGGCAAAATTCTCGAAGGGTATGGCACTAACTGAGTGATTATATTCAACCCCTGCCTCTTCTGAAGCCCAATTGTAAGGGATTAAGAATGTGGTAATTTTCCAAATGCCATTCAAGTCTGTTTTTGATTAAGGATTCTAATACTTTGCCTACGCAGGAGGAAAGGGAAATTGGCCTATAATTTGAAGCTACCATTTTATCCTTATTTGGCTTATTTATAGGTAGAATTAAGGATTGATTCCATTGTTGAGGAATTGAACCTGTTAAAAAACACATATAAAGATACTCAGAAGAAACAAGGAACCTGAACGAGGTAAATTTTTTAGCATAGAGTATGAAATAAGATCTAAGCCTGGAGAAGAGTCTCGTTTCAAATGTAACACACTTGAGTATTATTTAAGAGTAAAGGGGGATTCTGAATGAGCTATTGATTTGGCACACATTTTCCAGGGAAGGAGGGGAAAGAATGTTTAAGATTTCTTGCGCAATCGATTGGATAGGCATTAGATTCGAGAGATTTTGTTATAAACCAGAAATCGTATTAATTTTATTCCAAATGGACTTCAGGGAAGAATGAAGATTGAAGGAGCTACAATACATCCTAAAGCTATTTTTCCGTTTGGATTTGAGAACTTTTCTAGATGTAGCTATATTTTTTTAACTTAGATGTAATTATCTAAATTTGGACTTTCCATGAAATTTCTAATAGAGGTTACTCTGTTTGATACAAGTTCATTACATGAATCGTCCCACCAAGGGATACGATATTTAACATTCCTGTTAGGCTTGAAGAAGGGAATAGTAATATCAGTAGCTTGATTTAGTATAGATATGAACTCATAATAATTATCTTTGGGTAAGGAAGGAATAAGAGTAATCAGTTTATTAAAGTAAGAATTCCAATCTATTGTTAGGGGTGGGAGGGCCATTATTAGGGATTCCTATCTTACATTTGGTAGAGAAATGGTCACTAAAGCCCAAATCCGGAATCACTTCCCAAGTAGATTTATGAGCCAAATCTATTAAACAAAAGGTTAAATCAACAACAGATTTACGAAATTCGTGTAGGAGAGCCATCATTTTAAAACACTAATTGTAAAGAATATAAAGAATTGATTATATTTTTACCATTTGATGTCGGAATAAAGTTAAACCAATAATTATTTTTGGAAATAAGGTTATCTCCTGGGCTATAAATATTCACTAAGTTAAATTGGCAGTGGCGGAGATAGTTGAGTTGGAAGATCTAGAGAGTAATCTAGTAGAAGAGGCTGAAAATCTAAATTGTTTTTAATTAAACAGGCTTTACCTCCATAGCCATCAATGTTTGGTAACCTCTACACCTTAACCTATAATCTTCCTTTATCCAAGATTCATTAAGTAGGATTATGTTTGGATTGTGGTCCGTAATTAGGATCTTTAGATAATCTAATTAATGGATCTAAGAGCATAATAATAGATAATTAGTACTCTCAATCTTCAGAGTACTCGATTAGACCTGACTGAGAGAAAGAATTTGAAGGTCCCGCTGGACCTGTAGGAGAAGCATTGGGTTGTGATACAGAATAAAAAGAGCTGATAATATTACCTATGAAAGTTACGACTAACTCCTTGTGTTGATCCGATAAGCTATCTAAGGCGTGAATAACATCTATTTTAATATTATTTCCTTCCTCAGGCCGAAAGGGAGACCATAGGGGTCGAGTTGGAAGACTAGATGATCTTCCCGATGGACTAATTAAGCATTCTTGATGCCTTTTCTTATTATATTCATCTTCATGTGATCTCCTTCGTTTTGGCGTTCTAATTTTTTGACTGTAGGTGGGAAACCTTGTATTAGACAAGGATTCTGATCTTTGGGAGACTGGGATACCATTTTGATTTGCATCCCTGTAGGGAAGGGCCGGAAAGTCATTAATATTAGAAATAGGATTTTTTGGAATTTGTTGGTCGACTTCAAAGTAAAATATGTTCAAAAATGAAATTAGTTACTTGATTTCTTTTCGTCTATTATATTCAGGATAGTTAAACTCGTTGGAACTGTGTTCCGTAGATTTACAATAAATACAATACTTATTCCAAGTAACATCTGACTCATGGGATTTACCACACTTTATGCATTTGACCTTTCCTCTACATTAGGTTGATTCAAAAAAAATAATAAATTTTTTTTTTTCGAAATCCTCATGTAAAAACTTTCGAGAAGGTGTTAAAAGATACCTGTGAAAACGAGAGCCCTTAATATTAATATTAAGAGGTCGCGAATCGCAGATTTCTATTTCCCATTTAAATAACACGGAAATTTGTTTTTTTTAATTTTGGAATTTTGTAACTCTTAAGCGGTTGAATGGATTGTCAAACCAAAAATTATTCTTATAGGAAATTTGACGCTCTACAAAAAAGTCTTTGGAAATTTTTTGATTATCCTAGCCATGTAAAAGTGATTCGAGGTCAAAGTTAAAATTACAATAAAATTCCATTTTTTTTCCAACTATTTATTAATATTATTAATTTTTTTTCAAAATTTTGCTTCTTTTGATCACTTTTTTCCATAGTTACATTTATAAATAGTTAAGGACATCAGTTATGAATTATCAGTTTTAGATTTTCAATCAATAGTATTCTTAAACCCATACTATGTTAACACATTCACCGCCAAGCCAATTTTCATAAAACTTCCCAGCACGCTACCCATAAGAGCAACTCAGCGGACACCGGTGTCCGCTCTGGCGCCATGCCTAAAAACAGCATTTTTCACTCGCATCACGCCAGGGCGGACAAAATTTTTCCGACTTTACCACGCCACAGCGGACACAATAGCGGACACAAATATCTCAGCGGGCACGTCGTAACAGGTCTGTTTGCCGAAGCGGATCGCGCGCCAAATGTCTTGCTAAGCTCAGTATTGCATAAATTAGCGTAGTAGACACTTGACAGTGGTTTTTCGTCACACGTTTTTTCTATTTTGTTTTTTCATAAAGTGACAATGAGCAGCAGATCGAGACATATTATGTCCCTTGTGGAATGTTTTAATAAGGATCATAATAAATAAGTTTTTTTTTGCCATTTTGTTTTTATACTAAAAAATGTTAAAATGTGTGTACCTATAAAACAATATATTTTTTTAGTTATTTGTTAAAAATAACGAGAATTTTCTTGATATGTTTTTTTGTTTTAAGGATTGTTAAAAATGCTTAGGTTATATTGTGTCTAGTTGTACATAATATAACCATAATCAATAAGTTTTTTGATATTTTATTTTGTATACTACAGAATGTTAAAATGTTTTTTTCAATAAAACAATAAAATTTTAGTAGTTAAAAGTAGTTTACATTTCCATTGAAAAAAAATTTGTCCGCTCTGGCGCCTAGAGTTTAGCTGCTTTAAAAACTTTTTTACACGCCACAGCGGACACAATAGCGGACACAGTCCATAACATTTAAACAAAACTCTTTTTCAAAAAACCACGGTCGGTAGGCCATTCTAGAGGCCTAAAAAGAATAAGTTATAATAAAACATTTATAAAATTCAAAATTTTCGAGGAAATACCAACCTCTAAACCGGGCGGACACCGGTGTCCGCCCTGGCGTGATGAGCCGACCACGCAGCGGACACCAGTGTCCGCCCTGGCGGTGAATGTGTTAAGAGCGATATCCATGCAACACCTAACAGCAAATTCAGATTTAGAACACACTGACAACTTTCAGTGCATCTGAACCCACTTTGGCAACGTTGCTCTATTCCCAGGCTTACGCTCCCTTCAATTTATTACTTATAAACTATAGATGATTTAAAATATTAAAAATGCCGATAAATCGCAGGTCCGGTCTAACAAAGAGTATTTCTGTTTTGTTTTCTCGTTTAAATATTTTTTAAAGGTATAACCTGGTGTAACATTTTCGAAAAATTTTTTTTATAACTAATTTATTTATTTACGAAATATATTTTTAAATATACATATGTACCTATTTCTACATTTTCTTATATACAGGGTGTTTGTTGGTAAGTGTGAATGATTTTAGGGAATGTTTGCCGAAGTTATTTTATATAAAAAACATAGATCGAAAAAGTCAGTGGCGCAGTACTTTTTTATTAAAAAAGTGGCATTCTCGCACAAACGCCACTGGTACAAGTAGAAATATTTGGAACACCCCAAAAAATACACATTTGCCCCTTCAAAGTTTTTTTGCAAATTTAGAGTAAATATCTTTAAAACTATTAAAAATAATTAATAAAATTTAATAAATTAAAATTTAAACATTCTGTATCTCGGAAACGAAGCATATTTCGACCTACTTTTATAGGAACTTTTTTTAACAAAATAACTTTGATAACAATTTGCAAAAATCGTTCGTACTTATGTACAAATACCCTGTATAAAAATACGTTTTTTAAATAATAACCCATTTGATACTAGTTTGTGCAACAACAGTGGACAATCCACTGGAGTTGTACAGTATGTTTTTTTCTACGACCCACTAACGAAAATCTACAAATTTAAAGTATTATTTTAGGAAAAGACAAAATAATTAATTTTAAAATAATTTATGACTTTACTAATTTGTGAAATAAAATAAACATGAAAAAATATTTCATTTAATTAGTCCCCAGCCCAGAT